TTTAAGGATCCCCCGTCAAGATCCCGTGACGTGTCATTTAAATTTTCTTGCCTTGCTTTTGCTGCTGGTTGGGAGCCCCCTGCCACTGTCCTGTAAATGTTGTGGGGTGCCAGAGGGAACAGTTAGCAGGAGAGATGCGGGCATATTACAGACGGGAGGTGGACTATGGCAACCAGAGTGGGCGGCTCTAAACAACCCACTCTACGCCAGCAACTTGGAGTGGGAAGTGTTGGGAGAAAACGTATTTACAGGCAATCCCTATAGAATATCCATGTATACAAATATATCCTTGCAGATTTCTGGCCCTTAGATTATACAGAGGCGTTTACATCATACAGTGGTGTCTAAAAGCCTAGCTTACCAAGAGAATTCAACTTTGAAGGTATCCATGTGGATAACATGCACATTCTAGATATTTTTACATTTTTTTCTTTCCCAAAACATATTGTTGTGTGGTAATGTAGCTGGCATATTTATTTTTGCTATTCCCATTTTTAAAGCAAGGGCTTTGTACTCTAAAATGATCTGTGACCTTCACGAAGGTCACTTCAGTTCTCCACGGCCGAAAAGGTTGGGGAGTTTTCATTTGTTGCAGCTACTTTGTTTTTGGAGGGGCTGCTCAGCATGCCCTGGTTAATGGCTCCCTGCCTCTCCTGGTGTCGGATGAAAAGACAGCCCCAGGACATTTGGAAGGAATTCCACACACCACAGTTCTGGAGCCACTGAGAACTTAATGAGCCAGGGAGGGAGAGAACCTTTCTGAAATGGGAACTAGGAGTAGGTTTCACTGACCCGGATTTAAAAATATCCATCAACTCATTTACTATAAGAGCAACCGTCATGAGCCCGGGTTTGGAATCACAGTTAGCAGCTTTAAAAATGGGACCTGCCATTTACTTAGCTGAAATACGGGACGAGTCGTGTAATCTTGCTGAGCCTCAGTTTCCTTGTTTGCAAAATAAGGATATTTCTACCCGTATCTGGGGATGGTATGAGGATGGAATGGCATTGTGTGCTAAGAAAGAAAAGCACAGCCAGGCGGTGGTGGCGCACGCCTTTAATCCCAGCACTTGGGAGGCAGAGGCAGGCGGATGTCTGTGAGTTCAAGGCCAGCCTGGTCTACTAGAGCTAGTTCCAGGACAGGCTTCAAAGCTACAGAGAAACCCTGTCTCAAAAACCCAAAGGAAAGCACAAATCTTAACAGTAAGGGCACGCTGCTTCCAAGTCTTTACTCAAAGCACATTGGTACGTATCTGGGAGGGCTGAGGTCACACCGTTTGCACAGACATGCTCCTTGAGTTCTGTTGTTAGAGTTATCACGCCGTACAGTAATTATTTGCTCAAAGTCTCACCAATCCGCTAGCCTATGGGGTCTGTGGGCGGAGCCGCCGGGCTGACCACCTCTTTCCATCCTGAACATGATGAGTAGTGCAGGAAGTGGCTCGGCCTGGCTGTGGCGGTCACAGAAGGAAACAGAGGAGACCCCCAGGAATGGAAAATCAAGTCAGAAATGGAGATTGGGGTACAAGGTCAGCATGTGGAAATAAGTGCTTGTTCCTTAGGGGGCTGTGCAGGCTGAAGGGCTAAACTGTGAACGGAAGGGTGTGTTGTCTTGAGTCGGCCGCACCACGGTGCTTTAACCCTCTCATGGAATGAAGGCCATGAGCCGTAGATAGCTCTAGACGCACCAGGGACAGGATAGTGACGTTAGCCCATACCCGAAAGCATCTATAAACCCTTCAGATCTTTTTGGTTTATCCTTAGGATACTTTGAAGCACTTAATCCATGTTTTTATTTTTCTGATAGAAGTAAACTCATCCCCAAGTTCTGGTTCCCCAAAGTCACATTCTCTCACAGAGATGTGTTGAAGCTATATGGGGGCAGCCATCCAATAAGTGCTGTCGTTTGACACACGCTGAAAACAGTTTATCCTGAAACCAGCTCCTGCCCTCACCCGGAGAGTCATGGTCCATCTGGATCCGGGCATATTTGTTCTTCTGGGATAAGGAAGAAACTGTGGTCTTGGGAACAAAGAGGCCACACTATGACTATAAAAGCTGGCTTAGGGACAAGAGGATCTACAGCACAAAGCATGCTGCAGAGAATTTGAAATTTGGATAATCTTCCTCAAGTGTTGAAATCAGTCCCTTAGAATTACCAAAAGTCAAGAAACACTTCCGGGCAGAGGTGAGGGAGACGTGCCTTGGAAGCAGATCTCGGGTTGGCGGTTACATTGTCCTCTCTCTCAACGCCAGTCAGTGTTTGCCAACGACATGCGCTGATTGGTGTGAACCAAAGTCCCTGATGGAGAGGACTGGGACACGTGTCTCTCCAAGAACGAGGAGAAAAATCTTAGAAAGGAAGAACCAATCAGAAACTTACCAAACAGAATTGTTTAAAAAAAAAAAAGGTAAGGGGGCGGGCGGTGGTGGCGCACGCCTTTAATCTCAGCACTCGGGAGGCAGAGGCAGGTGGATCTCTGTGAGTTCGAGGCCAGCCTGGTCTACAAGAGCTAGCTCCAGGACAGGAACCAAAAAGCTACGGAGAAACCCTGTCTCGAAAAACCAAAAGAAAAAAAAGGGGGGGGGGAGTGATGTAGGATCTAAAAAAACAACTCCAGATATTTCTCTGAAGTGTTTGACAAGATTTACAATGGAAATCAAATGGAAAAAAATTCCCACAAAACTGATCCTACATATGTGAAAAAATATATTTTAAAAATGGAATGAGGGTCTGGGGATGCAGCTCAGTCTGTGGAGCGCTAGCGTAGCATGCCGGAGCCCTGGGATCTACCCGGTCCGCCACAGACACCAACCAGGGTGGTCCACCCACAATCCCATCACTCTAGAGGTAGAGGCTGAGAAACAAGTTCAAGCTCACCTTCAGCTACACAGCAAGTCTGAAGTCCTCCTGAGATCCATTAGCCCTGACCCTGTCTTAAAACTTAAATAACGGAATAAAAGAATCAGTTGTTATATAAACCAAGATCATCATCCCTAAATCCCCTCAGGAAGTTTCAAGATGGCTTGAGTCAGTGAAGAGGCAAAGCTGAGGTTTGCTCCACCCTGAGTGCTTGCAATGTTCCTTTCAGGAAGATCATGTCGCTGAGCTGTGTGGCTTGTGGCGTTTGGGTCATTTTCTCCTCACTGACCATTTGTAAGAGCTGGCGACTCTTGCCTAATCACCGAGGCGGCTGGGACTGACATCCTCCTTCATGAATGAAATGAGATGGGGGACTCTTGGACGGTAAATGTCCAGTACAGCACAAGGGAAGGAGAGATATGTCTGATGAGGTTGTTTCCTATGGGAACAGTCTCCATGGGAAGTGTCCTGAGCTGCTGTCACAGGATGAGTCCGGTAGGATCTGAAGCCAGTTCCTTCCGGGACTTCAGGGGTTCAGAGGAGTCAAAGGTCACGTACCTGCAATGACGCACGACTCGGCATCTTAGGAGAGGACAGGAGAATTTGGACAGTGCTGTTTTCGAATGTGGAGCATGACGGTTTGTTGGTTTTGTTACTGAGAAATCCTTCCCCCACCCCATTACTCCTGATCTGGCCAAATCTCTTCTGATGTGTACTTCACTCCTGGCCCTCTTGGTGTGTGTGCACACATGCAGCCTGAAGGTGTGTGTCACCACTCACAACTTCCTGTTTCTGTTGCTGCTACATCAGAAGCCTTGAAGTTTTCTGGAAGCAGACCAACTGCTAATCCCTACATGTTCTGCCACAGCTGTCCCTTTGCCCCCATCTGTCACCTGACTTCCCAAGGACGTAATTGTGAGAGAAGAGAAAGGATCACACTACAGAGTACACTTAACTCCATCCCAGATGGAACAAAAAAAAAGTCCCCGATGCATTCCCTACCTGCTAGTGGTCCAGGCTCCAGGGACTCCTACAGCTACACAGACCACCACAGAAAGCCCACGCTGAGATACAAGGGTGCAGAGATTCCCCCCTACACGGTCAAGAGGGCAGGATCAATGGGCTAAGGACCTTGGAGAGCTCCTGCCAACTGCTCCCCACAGCTGTGGGGCCTCCACACCAAGCCAATGCCAAACTCTCCCACGCTTCATGCCTGGTCCATGTCAGGAGCAATAGAGAGGGTGGTGGTCTGGAACCCCATCTCTCTTCACTTTGGGCTCTCCTGAGATTATCTCTGCAAGGATCCGTGTGACCAAAACACACTCTGGGTCCCTTTTATACTGAAATGAACCAGCAGAGCTTTTCCCCAGTCTCGCAGTGTGTGTGCTTGTGTGTGTGTGTGCATGTGTGCACGTGTGTCTATGGAGCAAAAGTGAGATGCTTTCTCACAGAAGAAAACAGTTCTACAGGAGGAGGGGCAGGCAGACACTAGAACCCCAAAGCCTCTGCAGTTTTACAAACCTCGTTCCTTCTTTTAGGGGTGTGTGGCTGTTTCTTACCTGAAAGGGTTTCTTCTAGCTGTCTGACAGGTGACTTCATTTTTGACGGGCCTATCCTTCCCGCCTGGGGAAGGGCTATCTATTCGTGTCTGCATTCACTTTGGTTGTCGAAGAGGCATTGCATTCCGCCATCTCGAAGCCTGGTCACTGGTTACCTCTAAACGTCCCCAGTAGACCATAGGGATGACGCCTCTTTCTGCACAGATGCCAGCAGGTTATCTGACGTTTACTGAACTAGCTAGAACAGACGTGGAGGTCGGGGTCCTTTCCCTAACTGTGGCACGGATAAGTGATTTGGTCCGTGGGACAGAGGAAATGAGTGGGAAGTTCGGGAAAGCAAAAGCAGAGAGTGGAAGGTGGTCACGAATCAGGTGACCCCGTCGTTGACCTGGCTGGGCCTCGCTCCCCTCGCTCCCTGTCAGGAAGCAGGAGGGACTAGAAACAAACACTGACCCAAACGCGTCCCTACTTCCTTTGTTAGTTTATAGAAGGAAAGTGTGGGCGGTTAGTAAGCTGTAGTCGGCAGGGCTTGCCCAGCAGCCCTGAGCTGCCTGTAACGCCCTGTCGTTTCCTCACAGGTACGAGCTGGGAGCCGCTCTCTTCATCGGGTGGGCAGGAGCCTCGCTCTGCATCATTGGCGGTGTCATATTTTGCTTTTCGATATCTGACAACAACAAAACACCCAGGTGAGAGAGAGAGAGGAAAACAGCTGCGAAAAATGTGCTACACCTGTGGTTCCCAACGCTGCGACCCTTTAATGCAGTTCTTCATGCTGTGGTGACCCCCCCCCCCCGACCAGAAAATTACTTAATTGCTACTTCATAACTGTGATTTTGCTAGTTTATGAATTATAATGTAAATAGTTTTGGAGCTAGAAGTTTGCCGAAGGGGCCTCAAAGCACAGGTTGAGAACCACCCAGCTGTATTATTTCTGAATCATTACATATGGGGCAAGTTACACACAATTTGTGACTCTTAGAAATGAGAAGTGACTGTGGGAAAGGGTTAGGGACAGGTATTATTTTTAAAGCTCGCCCTGCTGTGTTCAAAAGCTGCTTCTGTAACTGGGAGGCCAAGCCCGAGTGTAAAGGCCTGCTTTCCATGTCGACGTCACCGTAATTTTCACGTTGGCAGGGATCGATGAAGGCCTCTAGGAAACCTCAGTTTCAGGAAAGTGAGCATTAAAAATAGTTTTGAGAAAGGATATTGGAACAAGTAACTACCGAGTTGCCTCTGCAGAGTCTCTCCTCACGCAGGCTGTGTGGGCAGAGGAGGGAGGAGAGCTAACCAGAGGCGGCGTGAACGCTTAGTGACCGACAACAGTGGTTTTCACCCTGTTCTCCTTTGCCCTGCTGTAGAGCAGAATCAAGTCTGCTGCGCACTGTGTCCCTGTGTCTGCGCTCTGTGCGCTGGCACCCAGTTCGTGAGCTTCGGGCAAGGGGCTGGAGGTTAAAATACACAAACACACACAAACAGAGAGACAGCGACACGGGTCATCCTTGAATTCCCAAGAATGCCCCCTTTATTGTGTTCAGGGGCAGATTATATAGAGATAGCCACGCCCCAGCCAAACCCACCAGAAACCACTCTCCTGCCATCAGGAACTCCTGAAGGTCTCGTGCTCAGAGCAGCTGTAGGCACTCTCAGATCAGGGAATTACAAGAAATTCAGGATCTGGGGTCTCACTGCTCCCAACAAAGTCAAGTATGCTTTACCTTTCAGAATGAGCTACACGTACAACGGACCCACATCTGTCACGTCTTCCCGGACCAAGTATCATGGCGGAGAAGGAGATTTTAAAACCACAGGTCCTTCCAAACAGTTTGATAAGAACGCTTATGTCTAAAGGAGCTCCTGACGAGCTGTGTCTTGAAACTGAACTGTGCACGCAATGATCCTTCCGGGGCCCTCCCGTAATCGCCGCTTCCGCTTGTTTTTTAAAATATGAATTTGAAGACTGTTGATTGGACGGATGTAAATGTTCTTATAGCTATATGCTAATCATTTTCTGTTGTGCCTTTCTATAAGGAAAATAAACAGGTTATTTACAGGATCTGCATATTTTATGCCCATAGAACACATGGACGCTTAGTTCAAAGGCTCAGGAAATGTTGGGGTGACGGTCACTTTGATGTACGCTGAGAGCTTCCCTCGACCCATCCACACGTTAGGCAGAAGTGTGTCGGCAGTGGTGGCTTGTGAACGGGACGGGGACAAGTGGAGACTGTTCCTCATCAGGTGTCCCTGTTAAATAGTCACGTTACCTGCCATGTAGAGCCGCCTTCCAGTTTCTTAGACCTGTCTGACAGGACCGCCATTCACGACAATGGCTCAAGAAAGGACTACCGAGGCCAAGCTGTCATTGTCCTTTATGTGGATCAGAGACCACAAGGGTTGTCTGACACCCTTTGGTGAGCTGGGCCCTGACTGGTTGAATCCAAAGCCAGCTGAGGAAGTAGTGGGGAGGGGGGGCTGTGTGGTGCCTGCCATTCTCAGTTCCTGGGTGTCTCCTGAGTCCTGCACAGAGCACTCACGAGGTCACTGAGACACTGGCCAGTTTTCAAGACAGGGATCCCGAGGCTGGCCTGCAAACCACCTGCCCACAAAGGCAGCCCTCATCACCATCCCTATACAGCTTGAGTGACCCAACTCACTTACACCCCCAGCGCCCTTGGTGGTGGCTCCTCTCTTCCTCCTGCAGTGCAGCGAAGAAAAGTGGAGTATAAAGCAGAAGTCGTGAACCTTTGAATGACGGGGCCAGGATGTGAGCTGTTATCAGTTGTAAGAATCCGGCACCTGCGTCAAGGGCTGCAAACCGTCTGGGATGAATCACACGGGTGCCGCGTGACTTTCCCCAAGAGCGAATGATTGAAAAGGAAAAAGAAAAATCACATTGTTTGCAGGAACTCAATGGAAAGGTTTAAAAAATGTTTTGAAAAATAGAATTAAAAATTTTTAAATGCCATACCTTGTTACTACTTGAAATACTTTTTCATAAGTACCACAGACCAGTGTGGAAACAGTATTGTGATGGCATACTTCTAAAGTGATTGTTGTTCTTCAGCTCAGCTGGTGAAGAAAGCAGACGGGTAGGATACAGGGAGGGTAGAGGAGGAAGGGATGGATGGATTCGGGCAGGGGCCATAAGGTCTGGCTACAGAAGAAAGAATAAATCAAACAGAATGGGGGGAAAATGAAACAAAACTAAACAGAGAAGTTAAAGAATTGAGTCTTGTGAATATACCAAGTTAATTCCTATGCTGGGTTTGGGCAGAGGACCATTATACTTCCCCAGTTCCAGAAATCAAACCACGGCACAGAACGCGGAGCAGGCTTTCTCTAAAGCCGTCTTCATGCTTTCAAAAAGATCACATCTCAAAATTCTACCCGAATGGAGGCCTAAATCACACCCAGACAGAAGCAAAGCCACGCAGCTCAGGCTGGGCGTGGTCACACACACCACACACAGAAACACACAAACACACACTTCTAATCTTAGCACTTGGGTGGTAGAGGCGGCTGGATCTCTGAGTTCAAGGTCAGGCTGGTCTAGGGCAGGTTGAGTTCCAAGTCAGCTGTGGCTGCCTAGTTCAGACATTCTTAAAAAAACAGAATAAATAAATAAACAAACAAAAAACCGTGTGCTTCGATAAAAATCTGTTGCAGAAGTGAGTGGGGTGCAGGCTGCTCATCTCTACCCACATCACAGTCTGACACTTAGTAAGCTTTTGGATGTCTACAAAAAAGCGAGCCTATGGTGGCCCTTGTAGGAGGGTGGAAGGGTGGATGGCAGCCACGGTAGCCGTAGAGATTTATTCCAAGGTCAGGGTGTCAGAAGCCTGGCTTTGTGTAAGCCCCTTCATAAACTTAGCCGAGAAGCCATCCCCAATAAGCAGGCACAGTCCCAGGGTGTCATGGAGGACTTTACTGGCACTGTTGATGGATGACAGAAGACCCCAAATCCACAAGCTATTAAAATGTTACCTTTCTTTTGTTTTCTGAGATAGAGTCCTAATGGTACCACAAAGTATAAAAACTATTTTTTTAAAAGAAGGAAAAAATAAATAAAAAAGAAAAGCAAGCAAACAGTTTATATACAAATTTTCCGATCAATGCCGAGACCATTGTTCAAGAATATAAATTAGTTCTGAGGTATTTTATAATGGGCTGGGTACTGAAGAACACAGAAAATACACACATGTGTGACTCAGGAATGGCTCATCTCTTTCTAATGATCATCTCATGAAAATCAGTTGCACACTATTCATAAAGTATCCGAGATAAAGATTACACTGCAGAAAATAACTGGTCAGTAACAACATGCTAAGAGGGCCTCAGAGCTCCGTGGGATCAAAGGTACTTCAGGGAAATGTATTTAGCATGGGCCTAGCTAATTGTTACCATTCTAGACATACTGTATACGGAAAACAACCAGTTTAACACGTAGGGTGTCACTGGTATCACTAATTCAGTTTTGAAGAGACTTAACAGAATTTTGTAACATACTGACGTGACAGAACAGACATATTTTAAAAAGCTACAATAATTCAAACCAAAGCCTACTATCAGTCAAAAAAAAAAAACTTAAAAGTTAATTGAAAAAAAATACATTTAACACTAGAGTACCGTACTGGAAAACACATTTTATGATTTAAAGAACATCTTGCTTCTACACAGCCGACAGTTTTCAATTCTGCGGTACGTGTGTCGTCGAAGACGCCCTTGCTCTGAATGAGCTTCCTTGTACGGTGGGAAAGCTGAGGAACGCTGGAATCCTATTGGCTGTCGGCCGATGCTGGCTAGGAAGCGGTTCTCTAACTGGAGTTGTAGCTACACATCCATGATCTCACTCCAGTCAGTCACAGTCACTAGGCTGCTTTTCAGGGTGCTCGATTCGTTGTCATGAAGTCCTGGAGAGGGAGCAGGAGGGAGGGACGGGACCTGTGGTTAAACCGGGATATTCAGACCCCTGACTTCAGTCTTTGCTCACCCAGTGTCTGAAACTCTTCACCTTGACCCAAGTCCCTACAGGCTTTCGGGGAGGTTGCTAGCACGCCCACCCCCAAGTTGGCCACATTTCTAGATCTCCTCACAGGACACGGTGGCCCGTGACCATCCATTCTGAAGCCCATGAGCTCCTGGGTAGCTGGGCCTGTGTCCTGCTTCTCTTTCCCTGGTGTTCAGCATGGAGCCTGGATACTGAGTTCTCGGCGTGTCTGTGCTGTGTTATTAACTACAAGTAAATAGAAACGGGGCAGGAAAGGAACATGCAATCCTTCACGTCCAATGTAAATCTCTAATATTTAGAGGTAAGTGTTAAACATAGATTTTGCTGGGGCAAAAGAACTTAAATTTGAGTTAATTACAGTCATGGTTTTGAGCCGCGGGAGCAGCGCGCTGTGGAGAACTCCACTCTAATTTGATTCTGGAATGTTCTCTGAGAAACGCAGGGTCCTGGCACAGAAGCATGCTCCCAGTTCCTCATGAGGCAGTGTCTCTCAAGCAGTCTTTTGGATTTTATGAGTCCTTAGCAGAGATAACTTCACAATGGCTCTGCTGCAGACACGTTATCATGTGACAGTGTGGCAGTTAGTGCACAGCTGACATTCTCGAGAGAGAAAAGGGACAGAGCTGAGAACGCCCAACGGGGACAAGACGACCTGCTGCAGACAGGAGACAGGGCTGTGGGAACTCTCCGCGCTGGCAGGAAGCTGCGAACAGGGGCACAGAGAGATGTCGAGGATGGTAATAAAGACGCCCCTTCCTAACAGGACACCAGTAGCTAATATCCGAAGTTGTCAAATCAAGAGGCAGGTTTGAGTGCTTTACTGAGAGACACGGGAATGGCTCACCGGATATTAAAGATGGTGAGAAGTATCATGGAGGACCCTTCTGCTCATCTTACCTTTTATAACACACAAGGATTACTTTGATTTTATATGTATACAACTTGGCATGGTGGTATAACTGGCATGGAAGACGTGCGTGTATCTTAAAGAGATACTGTGCCACTCAACACGCTATCAGGCTGTTGAAACAATGGGCTTCAAAGAAATGAGAACTCCCCCCAGGAATCTCATGGTGGGAGAAGGATAATTTCTAGGGGCATCTGCACAAAGAGAATATCTGTGTGGACATGGTGAAAAATAACACTACAATGTTTACTGAAACATTACAGAAGAAATTAAAATGATTTGTACGTTTGTGAAGTAAGTTATCAATGTTCAGATATACCTTGTAATAAAAAAAGAAACAACATCAAGATCTTGGTTCTAACAACTGTGTCATTTGGTTTGGTCTGGTTTGGTTTTGGTTTTGGCTAAGTGGCTCTACCACTGAGCTATGATCCTAGCCCCCAGCAGTGTGTCTGTCTGAGCGTATAAAGTGTGTACCTAGCCGCAGATATGAAGTTGAAACACTCTGGGACCAAAGGCTTAGCTTGATTGCTACAGTGCTTGCAGATCAGTCCTGAGGACTTGAATTTGATCCCCAGATCTCACATTTTAAAATGGTCGCTGTTTCCCCGGCATTGAGGGAGCAGAAACAGCGACAGACCTGGGACTCTCAGGCCAGCCAGCCAGACTGGCCTGGTTGGTGAGCGCCAGGCCAGCGAGAGATCCTGCCTCAAAACACAAGGTAGACGGCTTCTCAGAAACAGTCCAGTGACTCCTGCTTCCACATGTACATTAATGTGCACCCACACGCGTGCACACACATACACACACACGCCTACACACTCCAGAAACATGGCCCATCCATAAATGGGAGTGAGGACTGCTAACCTTCTTCCTTGAATTCCCGAGGGTTCACTGGGCCCCAGGCCCTTGGCACTTGAGCGGAATTTAGATCTCTCTTCACAGGTGGGGGTTCCCTCTGTTCTAGCTTTTTCTCCAAGGATTTCTCTTCCTCTAAGGATGATATGTCCCAGGCACCATCATCTCGATCTGTGCACTGAAAGAAACACAGAGAATAAATAGGGTTTCTCTGTAGCTTTGGAGCCTGTCCTGGAACTCGCTCTTGTAGACTAGGCTGGCCTCAAACTCTCAGAGATCGGCTTGCGTCTGCCTCCCCTAGTGCTGGGATTGAAGGCAGGCGCCACCACCACCCGGCTATAACTTGCATTTCTTAAAGAAACAGTGCCTCTCGTTCGTTTTGTGATTTAGGTCAAGCAGCTGACACTGAATGAGAAGGTGGGGATGGCACAGGAGCCCAAATGGAGGCACCTTTCAGAGCTGCAAAGTGAATCTGAAAACCCGCATCTTGAAATTTACAGAAATCACTTCTCTTTTCCATGCCATAGATTTTTTTCTTTATCAACTGTGAATTTAGAAAATTCTAGACTACAAAGATGGTAGCGGGAGAAAACTCTAGTCAGGGTGATTTATGTCACCCAGGAGTCCTGTAGAATAAGACCCCCGCTTAAAGAAATACATTTCCAGCAAGCCTTTTTCGAGGAGAGCCATGCCATCTTGAATGATGCAGCATTTTGACAATTTTATTTTTTTGGTTTGTGTTAACACACACACAAAAAACCAGTAACTAATGAAGAATGTTCAACAGATTGTTTTGAGTCCCATGGATGAACGGGAGTGGGGGGGTGGGGGTCTAGCTACAGAACTGGAGAGGATGACCGTACGGGAAGACCCAGTCTACAACACCAGCTAGCCAGAATGGCAACAGCCGAGCTCCCTTACACACACTCTGGAGTTAGAACTGCTCCAGAACCTTCCAGGCCTCTCCGATGATTCTGACTCCGAGGTTGGACAAATTCTTAAAAGTTCCTACTTTACTTCCAGGCATCAGAAAAATCCCTGGAGTAGATGTGGAGGCTCCAGATTCCAGCTCATCCCACTGCTGTTGTCAAAACATCTAATGGCTGCAGGAGACAAACTGCACATACGATGGGGCTGTGAGCATCTGTGCAGTGAGACAGGCAAATATCATTGCATTGTAGGCTGAACAGCCCTACAGAGAACTGAAAGGACTGGGCCAGAAGTATTTCAAAATAGACAGGGAGCTGGGCTTGGGATTACTTTCAGACATCTTATTGGGTGTGAGTATCTCCAATCTGAAAACTCCAAATCCAGTGTGATTCAAAACCAGAAACTTTCTTGTGTGCATACTTGAGGCCAGACCTAGACTCTGTAAGCTGCTTCTCAAACCCTGAGAATGTCTGAGATGATGCCAGTGTTTACGAAGGTCAGTGGTTTGGGACACTACAGATTTCAGATTGCTCGATGCGTACATACCTGCTGTCAGACAGGAGATTTTCTATGGGATGGTGAAAAAAATGCAACACTAAGACCAAATCAGGACGAAGCATCAGCCTTCACTATATTAACTAATCACAATTGACTCTGATTCCATTATAAAATATATTTACTAATTAATTCATCCGAAGATGAACTAGTTAGCAAGTGGTTTCACCTTTAATTCTTGCAAGTCTTCCTTTTTGATAAGTGTCTCAGCAATATTCATTCCAGTAACTGGTTTATTCCCACTTCCTTGGTGTAAAACCATGCTCTCAACATTTTCAGTTTGTATTTTAACAGAGGTTCCTATAGGAGCAACAGAACACAGTCAAGAGAAGGTTTCCACAGACGGTATCACCATCAGTTCCAAAAGCCCGCAGTCGGCTCCGAAGGAGTCTTAGCGTTACATACGATGACTCATCATTCAAATAAAACTAGGTGAGGCATTTTGGGTTTGAAAAGAAGATGGGGTTGGAGAGATGACAGATGGCTCAGGCGTCAATAGCACCGCTGTTCCTACAGATAAGAGGTTGAGTTCCCAGGACCCAGATCATGAAGCTCATAACCACCTGTAACTCCAGTTCCAGGGGATCTGATGCCCTCTTGTGGCCTCACACAAGCGTGCACACACGTATACACACATACATACACATAAAATTTAAAAAAAAAATTAAATGGGTATGTAGAAAATAGGGTGTTATTTTTAAATGCACTCATTATATTTTCCAAATTATATAACTATGTAGTATATTCAAATTATATTTAATATAGCTAAGCCAGATATATTTAAAATCTGCAATTATAAATGAAGACCATTACTGGCTCTGCCTCCTTTAGGAAGTGGTCAGGAATCCCACACAGGAGGCTAGTCTTTCTTTAAATCACCCTGTTGAAAACACAGCCCATTAGGACGGCCGTTCTCAGTCAGCCAAGGTTAATGGGTTGAATTCCGTCCCTTGGGATTCCCACGCTGAGGCACTCAGCTTAGAATGTCATCTTCGTTGGAAGTGAAGAGGTCGTTAAGTTAGAGGTCATTGAGAGTGGTCCCACGGGGCCAGGCCGGGCAGATGGCTTAGGCAGTAAAATGCCTGCACAAAGCATGGGGATCTGAGTTCCATCCTAGCACCCGCAAAAAATCCAGGTATGCTGGCACGAGCGTCTGTGATCACAGTGCTGGGGGAGGTGGAGATAAGAACATTCCTGGAGCTCGACAGCCTGCTGGCCTTGCCAAATCAGTGAGCTCTGGGTTATGTGACAGACACCGGTCTCAAAAAAAGAAAATAAAGATACCCAACACTGACCTCTGTCCTTCATATGTGTACACATGTGCATATGTGCAACCACACACATGCACATATGTACATACATGCACCACACACATGTGCATACTCTGTACACACGCATGTACATGCACTACACACATACATGCACCACACACATGTGCATACTCTATACACACGCACGTACATGCACTACACACATACATGCACCACACACATGTGCATACACTGTACACACGCATGTACATGCACTACACACACATACATGCACCACACACATGTGCATACACTGTACACACGCATGTACATACGCTACAGACACACATACACATTTTAAAGAGTGGTCCATGATCTATGTGAACAGTCCTTATTAAAACTAGAAACCAGGAGACAGGCGGTGGTGGCGCACACCTTTAATCCCAGCATTCAGGAGGCAGAGGCAGGCAGAGCTCTGTGAGTTCGAAGCCAGCCTGGTCAACAAGAGCTAAAGTTCCAGGACAGGTTCCAAAGCTACAGAGAAACCCAGGCTTGAAAATCAAAAAAAAAAAAAAAAAAAACAAAGCAAAACAAAAACCTAGGAACCAGGACTGAGAGGAACTCATAGTGGGAGATGATACAAAGTTAGACAGGGAGAACAAAGCCTCCCCAGGGAAACAGAGCACACCTTCCCTGTGGCTCTCTTGCCAACACCTTGAGTTTACTCGTCCAGCCTACAGGATATGGACACAGCAGATTTCTGGTGTTGAAGTCACTCAGCTTGGGGCACTTAATTCAATCGGCTGTAGGAGGGCTCTCCCCTGTCTACTTGAAGATGGGTGGCTGTCTAGCGCTGCCCTGGGACGAGTCCCACAGCCCTCATACACAGTTCCAGCTCAGATGCCCAGGGCGTGGTGCCCCTGGGCAGGGACCATGTCCTAAGTACACTTGAGAGGGGTTTTTAGAGATCAAAGGCTCACCTGTGGGCTTCGGGGAAACATCTGAGTCCTCAATCTCGCTTCCCTCCGTCCAGTCGGTGTCACTTTTGACAGAATTCTTCCCGAAGTTGCTCAGGTTACTCTTAGACGGCTGGAGGGTAAATAAGTCTGGAGATATGTATGCCGGGATGAAGTCCTCTTCATCCAGCTCCTCCTCCGAGCTGAAGGGCGGCGTCCTGTATAAGTCAGAACCAAAATGGGGGTACAGGGGTGCCGTCAGAGCAAAAACAGGGGCATAGAGTGCCATCAGAACCAAAATGGGGTTCAGGGGTGCTGTCAGAGCAAAAACAGGGGCATGGGGTGCCATCAGAACCAAAATGGGGGCACAGGGGTGCTGTCAGAGCAAAAACAGGGGCATGGGGTGCCATCAGAACCAAAATGGGGTTACAGGGGTGCTGTCATAACCAACATGGGGTGTTGATTCCTCATTTCAGAATTTACCACCAGGTGTGCCTTTTTATCTTTTTACAAATCAGGTCTTTTAATCAGCATACAATTGGCTTTATTCTGAATTTTCGTACATATTTTGTTTTTGTTTCTCTTTCTCTCCTCCTCTCCCCCAATCTCCTGCTCTTCCTCCCAGAGAAGAGACTCTATAGTATCGACATCTCCAGACACAGGCAAGAGGATGACATTCAACAAGAGAAAATGAGTGTCATCCAGAACAAATTAATAACAGAAACATATCGGTAATTTATTGAGTGCCCACAAGTGCCAAGATCCTTTCATATGTTCTCATTTAATCTGCAAAATGATGCTAAGCCGGGTACGGTAGCCCATGCTGTAATCCCAGTAATTAGGCTGGGGCAGGAGCATATCTATGACTTCAAGGCCAGCGTAGTCAGAGAGAGAGGTCCAGTCCAGCCAGAGCTACATAGTAAGATCTCGTCTACAAAACAAACCAGCACCAGAAAAAAAAAAAAGTATTCTGGAAACAAAAAAGTGTCACATATTACAGAATATTTTAAAAAATAGATTCAAAAAGAGCACTTGATGAATATCAGCTGCTGAGTGATCGGGCAAAGATTCTTATCATTTCAGGGGCCCCAGCAGGAGGCAGGCTGTAGTTGTCATTGCCATTACAGGGAGCCGGAATGCAGAAATGGCCCCCGACCCCTATGTGATCATGGATCCAGCCACCGAAACACCGTCTGTTCTATTTAAATGTGCCTGTTGGGGAAGGCTGTATAGAATGACTCAGAGGTGGTCCTTTTTCTTCATGGAGGCCATGACGTGGTGAACTGAGTGACAGGGTGGCTGAAGATGGCATGTCACAAATAACAGACCGTGAAGGACTAGGACAGCAATGCTGATGAACAACCACCGTGGCTTCACTTAATCACAGTGACCCCCACTTTATCGTGAGAGGAATGCTCAGAAACTTTATATCCATCCCCGACACCCAGAACCTTGCCCAGTACTCACTTGGTAGATGAAAACTTTCTGAGAAAATGATTTTCTTTGGTACTTTTCTTAAATCTAAAATAAAAAAAAAAATTAGAGGAAGACAAAAAAAATTTCTAAAGCATGTAAGTAAATAATATTGCCAACACATATGTCTGTGGAAACCACAAAAGTCTGTTACCGACCCGAGACTACACAGGAGCTGTGGATGGGATTCACAGCTACGGGACTCACGTTTGTAACCCCCCAGACCTGGAGTGCGGTGACCTCTGGAGGCGGGGCTTTGGAAACTACTGGAATAAACGGAGTCAAAGGGTTGGGTCCCCATAATGGGATTACTATCTGTAAGCTCCCTAAGCTCAAATGTTTGAGTGCTTGGTCCCCACTGGACCTGTTTGGGAAGATTAGGAGGCGTGGCCTTCTTGGAGGAGGTATGTCACTTTGACACCCTGATTCTGAACTTCCAGCCTCCAAAATAAATTTCTCTTGTTTCAGGGACCCAGTCCATGATGTATTATTATTGCAACTTCAGTTGGATAAGACAAACAATCATATAGATATAGATATAGATATAGATATAGTTGAAAATACTCACTTCGGGACAGCCACCTTCTCAGTAAACACGGTCCTCTGTCTGATCAATGGTCTGCCTTGCGGGGGAACCTGGGAGGCTTTGAGGACGTCTTCAGCTGACAAAGTGGTCATGAGAGGGACATTGTATCTATCTGGAAGAGAAGCATCATTCATGAATCTCCATCGCCTCTGCGGTGAAAATCCAGAGTAAATAACACGATGCTATCCACGGTGTCACTGGAGAGAACAAGCCTGCTTCTCGGGTTGGGATCCAGACTCAGGGCTTCATTATTATTGTTTGTTTGTTCTTGGATATTTTTTCTTTTTCTGGGCGAATCTTTGTAACCCTGTTTGGACTCGAATATGCTATATAACTAAGAAGGACTCTAAAGTCCTGGTCCACCTGCCCTTACCTTCTGAGTGTTAGGATTATAGGAAAATTATCCACCCCAAAGTAGGAGTCAGGGCTTCTTTCAAGATAAAAGTATAACCCAAGACCCAGCACTTTAAGTACAGACAGTAAGGAGCTCGTTAGTGCCAAAGTGTGCAAACATTTAAAATTATAAAAAGGTCGTTAGAATTTAGCTCCCATTTGTAGCAATGAAGTGCCAGGTGGCAGCAGCAGGCTTACCTGAAGATAGTGACACCTTCTCCTCGATTTTACAGGTCAGCTGATGCTCGAGGGATTCTCGAATTTGCTGAATGTCGGGAATTTGTTTTGCTAGATCTTCTCTGGCTCCCTGCATGGTTTTCAGTGATTTGGTCAAGATCTCGCAGGGAATGCCATGTATATCCTGAAGGAATAAGATGTAGCGTCAATCTCTTATCCTTATCCTTGGGTGTTTTTCATTTGTAGGCACGTGTCAGCATTAACTCTGTTCTTCTGGGGCCCAGGGTCATTTAAGGTAGGGGATGAGGATGCTCCAGCATAGAAGAAACCCTCTGGTTCCAAAAGGACCTTGCAGTACAGCTGTGCCTGTTTATGACTGGTTCATCAGCAGTGCAATGTTGTGTGATCAGTGGCAAACAAGCAAGACTAGAAGAATTACGAGAGAGAGCCCGTCAGAGGCCCTGACCTCCAGGGGAGGGTGGAGCGGGAGGCTGAGCTGTGCTCCTATGAAGGGGGAAACGGACAAATGGAAATAAGAGGCAGTTTCCAGATGGCTGGGCACTGGGGATACCTTGGGAGGAAGACAGGACCTTAGGATAGAGATAGCCAAAGCACGTCCCTCCCAGGCTAATGCGACAAAGGCCTGGGAGATAGGACCAAAAGAGAAACCTGAATGCTGGCCTGGAAGGCTCAGCAGTCATCCCCACAGGGACGGGAAAGCCATCAGAGTTGACTTTCCATCAAGAACTAGAGTAATCAAAGGCGTGACCAAGGAACTCTGGGTCTGATGGGAATCTAGTCGGAAAAGGGCACTTAAACACTAGTTACTTAACGTTAGTGTTTCACACATGAGCTCAACGCCCATCTTCACCGCCTTCTCCCAGACTTTCTCCTTTCTTCTGAGTTCCCCACCCCAGCAGTGGCCTCGCTACCTCACGTGGTTGCCCAGGAGAGACATTTAAAGATTTCTGTCCCTTCCCCGCCACCGCCTCCCATTCCCCTCCCCCTCCCCCAATTGAGTGCCCCCCCCCCCCAGCCCGAAAAGCAATCAGGGTTCCCTGTCCTGTGGGAAGTCCAAGGAACTCCCACCTCCATCCAGGTCTAGTAAGGTGAGCATCCAAACTGCCTAGGCTCCCACAAAGCCAGTACGTGCAGTAGGATCAAAATCCAGTGCCATTGTTCTTGAGTTCTCAGTAGTCCTCATTGTCCGCTATGTTCAGCAAGTCCGGTTTTATCCCAGGCTTTTCCAGACCGAGGCCAGCTGGCCTTGGTGAGTTCCCAATAGAACATCCCCATTGTCTCAGTGTGTGGGTGCACCCCTCGCGGTCCTGAGTTCCTTGCTCGTGCTCTCTCTCCTTCTGCTCCTGATTTGGACCTTGAGATTTCAGTCCTGTGCTCCAATGTGGGTCTCTGTCTCTGTCTCCTTTCATCGCTTGCTGAAGGTTAATATTCAGGAGGATGCCTATATGTTTTTCTTTGGGTTCTTTTTTTTAAATATTTATTTATTTATTATGTATACAGTATACAATATTCTGTCTGTATGTCTGCAGACCAGAAGAGGGCAGCAGACCTCATTACAGATGGTTGTGAGCCACCATGTGGTTGCCGGGAATTGAACTCATGACCTTTGGAAGAGCAGGCAATGCTCTTAACCACTGAGCCATCTCTCCAGCCCCCAGGAGAGACATTTCTGTCATCAGATAAGTGCCACGTCCAGGTTTCCTGTCCCCTGTCATTCACCTGATCTGCCCAACTTCTGTCTATCGCTCCAGAGGGTCAAAGACTTCCCATACTTCTGTGACCCAGCTTAATGTCCGCCTTCCTACACCCTAGTGGGTGGAAGGATCTAATGTTATAGAGCTATCCGCCTTCCTAATTAGTACACAGCATTTCCAACAGCTTCCCGCAGGATTCCAGGGAGGTTTTTTATAAAGTTCAACAGAAAACAAGAACCGGAAAAATTACCAAAATGTTTCAAGCAGCAAGATTAGGGAAAGCATGCCATGGGAGACAAAAAAAACAAAACAAAACAAAACAAAACAAAAAAAAAACATGGCTGGTCTAAGTCAGTCTGTGCGGTACGCACAAATGAATAAAGAATGAATATGGCCGGGCAGTGGGGGTGTAAACCTTTAATCCCAGCACTCGGGAGGCAGAGGCAGGCAGATCTCTGAGTTTGAGGCCAGCCTGGTCTACACAGAGAACCCAGTCTTGAAAAAACTAACTAACTATCTATCTATCTATCTATCTATCTATCTAACTAACCAACCAACTAACTATCTATCTATCTATCTATCTATCTATCTATCTATCTATCTAACTAACTAACTAACAAATATGGCAAAGTAACTGAAGGTCCAAAGCAGATGCACACATGGAGTTTCTACATAATAAAAGAATTATTTCAGATGAACAGGAAATGATATCAGGACAGCTGCTTCAAGTGGAAATAAAGCTAAATTCTTCTGTTCTGAAAACACCCCCCACAACCCCCAAACCAGGAAACAAACAAACATGTCTCCAAACACTAGGAGAAAAACCATAGATAAAGCTCTGATTAAGACAGCCAACACGAAAACCCTAGACTCAAGAGTGTGTGCGTGGGACTGAGGACACTGCATGAATGTCTCTGATTCCCACTGCCCAGTGTGCCTAAAAACCCACAGAGAGTCTGAGAAATCAGAGACTTGGTTAAAGACACAGAGCAACTGAACCCTTCTGCCCCTTTAGGGTGAGTGTGGACTCCAACACTTAAGGAAATGATTCGGGAGCAGCTGTGAGGGCAAACATGTCTGTCACTTGACCCAGCAATGTCATTCCTAGACGTACCTCCAGGAAAAGGACACTTACTTTGATGTTCTATGCTCACACCAGAGCACATGCTCACAACTTAGTAGCCAGAAGAGTCCACAAGGGAACCTGGCATTTCCATTTTCAAGAAGAGAGAAAAAACTGCACAGTATTCAACTCAGGGCAGCAGTGAGGTAACTGAAGAACAGACCCCTGGTGCGTGAAACGGACACGGACCATACGGACTAGAGCATCATCAAGGGCAGGATGCAGGAGACTGCACAAACGTGCTTCCACAGAGGCCCAAGAACAAGTAGACTCAGTCACAACAGCTGTCACGTCTTGTTGGAGAGCAGCTGGTGACAGAGGCAAGGAGGAGGTAAGGGGACCTTCTAGGATACTAGAAATGCCCAACTTTATCTGAGTGGTGGTTACAATTCTCTCAAGCAAACCCACCCCAACGTGGAGATACACAATGTCTCCATATGTTTACTCAAATACATGTATATACATGTACATGTATGAGCATATGGTTCTATACAAACGTATGTATACATATGCAGCTATATCCACACATATGTCTACACACAAACAGCTGAGACATACAGCTACATACACATGTATTGATACATATCCACACACTACACCTATCATGTATAAGCATTCATTTGGGTGTAATATACATTCATGCTTACACATACATGTTCACATGTGTATGTTCACATGCATTTGTGTCTGATATATATATATACATTCATATATATATAGTTATGCAAGCTCTTATGTATTTACCTGCATACAAATAAATTCATCAAATTGTTAGGATTTATACACTTTGTGTGTTGTAATAAATAATTTTAAAAGCACAAAGGGTTTACATGTAAGGTGTGGGACTGAGATTATTCAATCTGGTTTCAAGATGGAACCTAATTCAGCTGCCTGTTCATTCATCATTTACTAAGTTCTGGTTTCACAATGAGCAGTGGTTTGAGGCGACATCAGGATGCATTATTCGGGATATATGATGCACTCTGAGCACCCACACAGGCTCAGGCTCCGGCATTACTAGCTGTGTGACCAAGTCACCTCATCTTTACACAAAACAAGCAACAGCATCATTTAGTCCAAGTTTCATTCCCCTGTTTGTAAATAAGTTTGCATTTGTTAAGGCCTTAGCAACGCCCCAGGTAGCATATGCCATCCGGGGCTCTGCTAACCTGGGTCTTAGCATGCAGTCTAAACTTAAGGCGCCTTCTTCTCTTCCCTCGTGTCCTGACTGGGGAAATGGGACAGAACGAGCAAATGCTCAGAACATGAACTAACGTACTGCGTTAATCCCGAGGCTCTTCAGCTTCTTCTCCAGCTCCATCTCCAAGTTTGTCCTGAGCCCCTTTGAGGAGTGGCTGCCCTTCCAAGTTTTCCTTAGATGTGTCTTCTTACTTGATTTCTGGTCATTTTCTCGTCCTGAATCAAAGTATCAGTAAAAAGTACGTGTAAAGAGAATTATACAAACTCATTCTAAATGGGAAATGACAGCATACAACTTTAAGTTAGAAAGTAAACATCTTTAAAGATTTTAAGGTTTTGGATATTTTATAACTGTAAGGATCTTAATGTTTAAAACTGTCTGCCTCAGGACTTAGTGACTTCTAAGACTACTGATTGTTTATCGAAATTATAACTAATCAACCTAAGAAATAGTCATATATTTTTTAATGTTTCATCAATGGGAATATTTTCCCAAAACTAAGCCTAGTTAGAATTTATCTTATGAAGATAAAATGTCTAATTTATTTAAATTTTATTTAAGTTTTAAGAAGATAAATTTAGTACATGCTAAGTACATAAAACTTGTGATTATTCTTCCCTTCAAAGTCTTTACCAAAACTGCAAAGAGGTTAACAACCTATAATTAAAACAAGACAAAAAAGCCAAACAGAGAAAAAACAAATCAATAAAACCCAGGTCATACTCCTTTCTCTTCCCATCCCCAACTTCACCTTTTTCCTTCCCCTTCGTGGTACTGGAGTGGAGCCGGTAACGGCAGCCTCGGCTCACCCTGGCCTACTTTTACTGTCTACTTTAAAAAAAAAATGTCTAGTTCAAGAGAGCTTGGAACAGGGTCCGAATAGCACATTTCACCATGAAGGTCAGTCTGCCCAAGGTAGTTTAAGACCCAGACTCAAGAGACCCAAGAGCTGGCAGACTGTCCAAAGCCAGATTTGAAACAAGTCTGGCAGATAGCCTATCATATGGATCCCATATCCAGGCAGGTTCATTTCATTCCAAAGGACTGGACAAGTGTCGTAAACCAGCAAGATATGTATCCCCCTTTCTGACTGACTGCAGGGAACCCCTCCCCCAACCACTCGCTGGCCTTTCAGCAGCTGCCACCTGGATTGCGGGAGATTATTAAACAAAATGCCATTGCCTAACACGTTCTCCAGATAGCTGCATGATCCCAATACTAAATCATATTCTGTTAAATCAATGAAGGGTTATGTGTGTGTGTGTGGGGGGGTTCATTTGTTTGTTTTGAGACAGGGTCTCACTCTAGCCTATGCTGGCCTCATAGTCACAGTGATGAAATACTAAGATTGCAAGCATGAGCCAAAGTGTTCATCTATTAATTAAACTGTACTAAAACCAAAATTAGCCAAATTAGTTTGCATATCAAATAGGAAAAAATCCTGCATGAAGATATAGTTTTAATACTTTGCTATTCTGGTTTGTTCAACTGGAAATATCAGCACATATATGATTATGTCATTAAGAGTCAGAAGTCATCTTAATTTTAATCTTATACTCTCTCCATCTATGAAGTTGAGTGACTGCTAACGCTTCAGCAAATTCTGCAACCACGCACATACACACAGAGATAAAAGCAAAACCTCTCAAAAGAAAACAAAAATCCAACCACTTAACCAAACGACAACAACAAAAAAATCGGTCCTAAGAGCTGGTATCAATTAATCAAAACACATATTCTACATCACTGGCTTTGTGGTGATGGCCCTCGAAGTCATGTTAAACTAGTAAATAAAAAGTGAGGGACAACGTGGGAAGACAAATGAAAATAAACCCCACTAAAAATGTGTTCTTTTAAAATGTCAATGATTAACATAGAAACACCAGGACTTGAAAATATATGTCATGTAGACATTATGAACAGGGCTGGTTTAGTCAATTTCCAATTTGTAGCTTTGTTAAAATAAGAAAGAAATGGTAAATTGTATTATACAGGAGTTACAACAACTATTAAAATTTTACATTCCATGGCTAAAGAGATGGCTCAGCAGTTACGAGCATGCATCGCTCTTCCGAGGGCTCTGAGTTCAGCTCCCAGCACCCATGTCGTGCTCCCTCGAAGGGAATCCAGGGCCTTCTTCCGGCCTCTGCAAACCCTGCGCTAACATACACATAACCACAAAAGTTTGTCGACTGAAGTACATGTTTTTAACCTCCCTTCCTGACAGAAATGGTTAATAATGGAGCCCTCACATTTACTACCAACTAGCTTCCCCCTCAGCAGTGATACTTGGGGCTGGAGTGTTGGCTCAGCGGTTAAGAGTGCTGGCTGCTCAGCTAGAGGAACCAGCTCACAGTTGTCTGTAACTCCAGTTCCTGGGATCCAACAGCCTCACACTGACATACGTGCAGGCAAAACGCCAATGCACGTAACAAATAAAAATCAATTAAAAAGCAATGTTTAGAAATGCCAGATGAAATACGTTAGCAATAACCATTTATCAGTTCCACTATGACAGCTCCCACACCCCACCACGGGGTATTATTATTCTCTATTTTATACCCAGTGCTTAGATCCTGTATTCTTTTTTGACACCGAGAATAATTTGGTGGTGGGACCTATGGCTCCCAGGTAGAACCCTTGCCGAGCGTGCGCAAGGTCCTGAGTTCGATCCCCAGCACTGGAAAACAGTGATTTGGAAACGGACACTTTATTCATTCGAGACTAACGTTGTGAGAAACCACTCTGACACAAATAGTCTAGTGCACAATACGTGTGCCGCTTTGCCGTTTGGTCAGAATATCTGTACTGAAATAAAGGATTTTTGTTTTGAAGTTTCCTGATGTAGCAACTTTCTTATTAACTTACCTGCAGAAAAACGTAACAAAGCGGGGGATACAGGAGCATTAGGGGACAAGATAACCAGGTGCTGTGTGTCCTATCAGCCAAAACTGCAGTCCAAAGCTAAAAGCCTCTCCTGTTTTCCGTATGGCGTGACACGCAGCATCAACTTGGACTTTTAGGGTCCAGAAGGGAGCACATATGTAACGCTGGTACTGTTACCTTTTTCCTCCTCTGACGAAAGCTCTTCTATAGGTTCCAGCACGTGCGACGGAAATGCCTGCTCTGCTCACGAGGAGAGAAAGGAGCAACGCAAATATGTTTCTTTAAATATATAGATTTGCTTGCATATAAATGTTTATATACATATATATGTATGTACAAACTACTTTACATATCCATGTCCATAGATATAGTTTGTGAGAATAGCAAAGACCTACTAGGATAATACTGAGGGAGTCACTTTTGATTTTATTATTTATTTATTAAAGATAGGGTCTTATGTAGTTAAGGCTAGCATTGAACTCTCTACGTAGCAAACTGGCTTACAGGACTCAAGGCTCACCCATCTGCAGCTCAGACTACAGAGAGAACTTTTCCACTGACACTTTCACCTCGGTGGTGAAAGCCATTTCATTCTATCTTAGCCTCCAGGGTGGTGTTGTGTAAGTTTCCTCCAAGATTGAAACATTCTATCCTGCAGGAAGCTCCTTAAGCCAGAAAGGTAAACAACTAAAATAGCTCCAGGAAGTCCCTGAAGCTGAGCAGACTCACTGGCCTCCTCCCTGTCAGAGTAAGCAATCAAAGCTAAGAGTCCTGAGACAGAGTTAAGCAAAGACGACTGACTCTGAGACCAGAAGCGGACACCAGCAGAGCTTCCCAGAAGTTTAGAGCAGAGTCACTTGGAAAGGACACTCTAACCTGATGAGCCACCTGCAGACTGTGTCGTGTGCTCCAGGTCCCCAGCTTTGTGACCTGGTACCCATGCTAGGGTGGCCAGTGGTGATGCAGCTGTCTGAGTCATTTCTGCCCCTCTAAGTAACCCCTCCCCCATATTCCTGTAATAAACTCCAATAAAACTCATGGGTTCCCCAAGTTTGAGTTTGGTGATATCTGTACTTGGGTCTGCTGTGGACTCCCTCTGTGGGGTGAGCAGACGTGTTTGAGAAGTTTGTCACACAACACATTGACAAATGTGGGGCAGCAGTCACTGAGCGCTCACAGGCAGTCAGGCATAGACCTGAGTTGTTACACATCTAGCACCTATGTGGAAAGCCTGGCTTTTATTTAATGGGTACTTCTAGTGCACTAATTTGGATGGCTGTATGGCTGTATGAATAAATTTATATATGTATATATACTATATATTTATGAAGTATATCAATGTTTTTGATTTTGTTGAGCTAGGTGTGTTGGTACAGGTCTGAAAATCCAACACTTGGGTGCAGAATCAGAAGGGTCACTGTAAGTCTAGGGCCAGCCTGGTCGACGGAGAAAGTTATAGGCTAGCCAGGGCTACACGGGAGACTCTACTTAAAAACAAACAAAGAACAAGCTGAAGTCCGTGACGGAACTAGACTTTTGTTCTTCATAAATCTTGACATCTGGGCACGCTGGCCTGTAACAGCGACCCCTTTAGTCCATGGCTGGTTGTGAGGGACGTATTCAATCACAATCTGAAACCCACATGCTGGATTTTATTATCTATGGGAGTTTAAAACACTCAGGATCCTTTTCTCCTTGAGACTAATAATAGATAAAACGCACACTCAACTTGCACAGAGTTGTCTTAGTCCTGACAATGCGAGAAAAATATCTGTCGACATGTGTGATGTAGGTTTAGTATGTGGGCAGGACAAAACTCGACTCCCAAGAGGCTGATTCAGAAGAGCAAACACAGACAGGAAGAGCACTGGGTTTTATTCTAACTCAGGTGGCAGCAGTGTCTTTTCCCCACTGGCTGGGGTCACACCTCACAGTTCTGTTTGATTGGCAAGTCTTCAAAGAAATGGTGTAGAGGCCCTGAAGAGAGAAGTGGTCAGCCACTTCCATCCCAGAATGCAACACCATCTTTGTGCGTATAAAGTTTTATTGGTGGGGGACAGAGTAAAATATTTGCATATCAAAGTCTTACAAGGTGGGGGTGATAAAAAGATTTGAATTCCTTGTCATAAGCCTGAGTTTTCTAGCATTTGATAGAAAAGGCTCATGTTTAATTTGTCTTATAAATCCATGTTCTTTATAAACAGCCTTTTCTTCAGATGTTTTCTTACCCTATCCTGGAGTAACAAACTGCAGGCAGGAGGGAGAGCCCGGTAGCAACAGCTGGCTGAGCGAGGCTGAGTGAGACCCAGGAGAAGGAGTCAGTCATTCCATCTGTTGGATTAGCGTGGTTCCTCCCTAAGTGGGTGGCTCCTTGGCCAGGAGACTGACCTGGCTACTGTGTGACTTTTTAAACACTTAAATTAAGGCTGGCAAGATGACTGAGACAGTAACTGTTATTCCAGTGGACCCAGGTTCAATTCCCTGTAAGCACCTGTGTATGCATGCATGAGTATGTACGTGTCTGTATACTGTAAGCGCATGTGTATGCATGAGTGTGTACGTGTCTGTATACTGTAAGCGCATGTGTATGCCTGCATGCATGTGTATGTGTCTGTATACTGTAAGCGCATGTGTATGCCTGCATGAGTGTGTATGTGTCTGTATACTGTAAGCGCATGTGTATGCATGAGTGTGTACGTGTCTGTATACTGTAAGCGCATGTGTATGCATGCATGAGTGTGTACATGTCTGTATACTGTAAGTGCATGTGTATGTATGCATGAGTATGTACGTGTCTGTATACTGTAAGTGCATGTGTATGCATGCATGAGTGTGTATGTGTCTCTATACTGTAAGTGCATGCATGAGTGTGTACGTGTCTGTATACTGTAAGCGCATGTGTATGCCTGCATGAGTGTGTACGTGTCTGTATACTGTAAGTGCATATGTATGCATGCATGAGTGTGTATGTGTCTGTATACTGTAAGCGCATGTGTATGCATGCATGAGTGTGTACGTGTCTGTATACTGTAAGCGCATGTGTATGCATGCATGAGTGTGTACGTGTCTGTATACTGTAAGCGCATGTGTATGCCTGCATGAGTGTGTACGTGTCTGTATACTGTAAGTGCATATGTATGCATGCATGAGTGTGTATGTGTCTGTATACTGTAAGCGCATGTGTATGCCTGCATGAGTGTGTACATGTCTGTATACTGTAAGTGCATGTGTATGCATGCATGAGTGTGTACGTGTCTGTATACACTACTGAGACACCTTCTGTATCTACACAGCCATCTCTATAACTACCGTCTTTTTTTATTTGTGTGTGTGTGTGTGTGTGTGTACGATGCGCATGTGCATGGGTGTGTCTGCATGTGTCAGTATGGGTGTGGGAACACCATGGCACACATATGATGTCAGAGGAAGGTGAGTTTCGGTCCTGGCCTTCCACAGCGCTTACTGCTTTGCGTGCTGGGCTGCTGGGGGAGCTTCTGGGGCTTCCTTCTTTCTACCTGCCATTCGCCTCAGCAGCACCGGGATTCCAGACGTGGGTTCTGTGGAACCTGCACTCACGTGGCAAGTGATGTATCTACTGGGCCATCTCCGCAACTACTCAGCCTACAGCCTTCTTTGAAGGGTCAAAACCCAAGGTGGAAAGCAGTAATGGTTAGAATCTAAACCATTCTTAGACAAGACAGGAATAAAGCGGTTCCCCTGCTTTGGTTTCTTTGTAACACACAGCAGCCGTGTTTTGTTAGGTATGGAGAATGTCTGTTTCCTCTAACATATGGGAGAGCTCAAAGAGCAGAGGATAAACGTGAGAGAACCCGGCTCAGTAAGAAGAGAAATCCGGATGGAAATAGTCTTCCACCTACCCCAGCATGATTATGGCATTCCGCGCCTGCTGTCCCGTCTGAGGGACGAGGGCTAGCAGGGATTTCATCCCCAACACTCTGTCCGGTTTTCTGCCTGTGGTTTCTACCTTTTTTTCTACGCCTTCCTGACCAATCATTGAGACTGTTTGTTTAGAAAAGGTGACCTGCCACCAGACTGAAAGTTAGAAAAACAAGCAGAAATGCCCTGTGGCATGTCTGGTTGGCTGGTCTTCCTCAGGCCTGCCACTTTCCGCAAAGATCATAAAGAAATGAAGTAGCGAAGTTAAAACTGCTATTGGGCCCAATGACACGCAGAGGCTGCACGTTCCGCTCTCAGTCATGTATGCTGTGAGGACAGACGTTTTCCCAACTGCTTTGTAGTGACTAAGGGGTTTCCTGCTTTATAGAATCGCACCCTGCAGGCAAACTAGGTTAATGATTATCTAACTCAGGCTGAGAATGGCACCCGAAACATCAAGACTGTAGCTGAAACCTACCATGTACCATGGTCAGGCTGGGTGCACCATCCAGAGTCTGTGTGGTGGAGGCATTCCCTGAAACAGAACAAGAGGAAAAGCTCACTGGCCCCGCCGCTCCGGCTTAAGTATCTGACCACACACCTTCCGAAAGACACAGGCAGCCCACAGGCAGCACATGCCTCGAACAACAGATGCTACCCATCTGGCTTCTTTTATTTTTTTTTTAAAGATATTTTTAAATTATTATTTTGAGGTGCCCAGAATAAAACCCACAGCCTGTGCATGCTAGTGAAGTACTCTAGCACCCAGACTAACGCTTCTTAAGTGTGTGTGTGCGCGTGTGTGTGTGCATGTGTACCTTTTAGGTTGCTCACAGGACTGTGTGACCACAATCACTAGTTAGTCAGCCCATTTATCAATCTTCCCCAAATGCCGATACCTACTGGCTATTCCAGCTCATTCTCTCCCCACCTCTTCAGCCTCTAGAACAATTACTGTCCTTTGCGTGTCTGTGACTGTTGCACACTTACAGAACCACACACCGTGTTCTTGCTTCCTTCAGTTAGCGTGTTTTCACTAACATGTGTGACATGTCAAGATGAGCACTGTTTCTACGGTCAGGCAACACTCCAGTGTACAACTAGACCTGACTGTCTGAGACAGGATGGGCATTTGTGTTGTTTCCATTTAGGAAAATGAGTTCTGAAAAATATCCCAAGCATGAGGCTAGATGTGGAAGAATTATTAATTTAGGCACAGCTTTAGGCAGAAGAAAACTGACTCAATCAATACTCAATGCTATTTTTAATTCCTTTTTTTTAATATTTATTTATTATGTATACAATATTCTGTCTGTGTGTATGCCTGCAGGCCACAAGAGGGCACCAGAACTCATTACGGATGGTTGTGAGCCACCAGGTGGTTGCTGGGAATTGAACTCAGGATCTTTGGAAGAACAGGCAATGCTCTTAACCACTAAGCCATCTCTCCAGCCCGCTATTTTTAATTTCTTTTGACATGTAAATCCTTCAGCCACTTTCCCAAGGTTTCACGATTCCTATCCCAGAGTCCTTCCTATCTTGAGAGTCCAATTACACAAGCTTTTTTTCCTTCCCCATTAAACAACTTACCTATTAATTCACTATTTCTTTCTCTACCTTAGAAGTATTGGTCATAACCTTATCACCTCTGTACACTTACTTATTTTTATGATAAATACTGGCAAAAGCATTCTATTCATAACTGTCCACAAATCACTAGGAAATCAGAAAACAGGACTTGTGGGCTCATTTGCACCTTGTACAATCTAGATCAAGCAAGGCTCTGCAAACTACAGCCTATGAGAATGACTGAGCCCGCTGATGTTCCTGTGAAGTTTTATTGAAACTCAGCCAATTCACTGTTTGACTGTCTGCAGCTGGCTTTGCAAAGTTATACCATAGCTATGTGGTTTTATAACAGCATCTCACCACGTAACTTCACGGAGTCACTCTTTCAATGCCTATCCCTTTACAGGGGAAACACATACAGAAAAAACTGGCCTAGATATTACTCCAGCTTGATAAAGCCGAAAGATGCGACCTAGGACTGATCACCTCCAGGGCGCCTTGGAAGCCACAGCGCATGAAATGACTGAGGTCTAACCTGGTCACGCTAGGCCCTGTGCACACTGCACATCTGACTATCTCTCACAAATGTCACCTGCTCTCTGACCTCCTCTACCCAGAGTTCTTTTCTTCTCCGTTCAGAAATAAAAGATATTTAAATTATTTCACTATCATTGAAAAAAAAGTATGAGAACATCATATCTTTGTGTGTATGCGCACACACGTCCATGTGTGTGTGAGTGTATGTGAGTATATGTATGTGCACATGTGTGTGTGTGTGTGTATGCATGTGTGTCTGTGAGTGCCTGTGCGTTTGGGCACCTGTGGAAGGAGGAGATCAACGTCAGGCATCTTCCTCGATTGATCTCTATTTTATTATTATCAGATAGATTTCATTTATTTATGTCTGTGTGTATTAATGTCTGGGAATGGGTGTGACAAGGGGATGCACACTTGCATGCAGAGGCCAGACGAGGATAACTGACCCTTTGGAGCTCAAATTGCAGGTAGTTACAGAACGCCTGGCTTCTTACATGGGCGCTCAGATCTGAGTTCCAGCCCTCATAACTTCTCTTAACCTCTGAGCTGTTGCTGTAGCTTATTTTTCATTTGTCTTTTGAAACAGGGTTTCTCTGTGTATCCCTGGCTGTCCTGAAACTTGCTCTGTAGACAAGACTGGCCTGGAACTTAAGAGATCCATCTGCTTCTGCATCCCGAGAGCTGGAATTAAAGATGTGTGCCACCATGCCAGCCATCCACTGTATCTCTTAAGATAGGATCTCTGAACCAGAACTTGCAGATTTGGCTAGACTGGCTAGCTAACAAGCCCCAGAGATTTCTGTTTCTGCCCCCAGTATTGGAATTATAGACATGTGCCCAACTTATCCCTCGGTTGTCCCTGAGTGCTAGGGACCCATCACAGAACCTCAAGTTTACATAGCCAAGATTTACTGAAACAGCCCTCTCCCCAGTCCCCAAGTTTGACCCTGTTGCTTTATGACTGTTTCTTGACAAACTCAGGCCCTAGATCAGATGTCCATGATGATCCTAAGGCTGGACAGGGGAACCTGCTAACACCCTCAGCATCGAGTCTCAGTCCTGTCGGTGTGGCATTGGCCACTCACCAGGCTCGTCCCAGGGTGCTTTAGGAAATCCCGAAATGTGAGCTTGCGCGGTACCACAACGTTGACTCATCCCTTCATAAGTCAAACTGCCAAGTGATAAAAGCAAAATCTACAAAATCTACAGCCTTAGAGTACAGAGCTAAGTCAAAGCCAGAACCAAAATGGATCACACAGCAACGCCAAATACATTGTTTCCAAGAAAAAAAGTCTCTAAAGTGAAGTAAGAAAGAAAACATGGGGCTGGAGAGATGGCTCAGAGGTTAAGAGCATTGCCTGCTCTTCCAAAGTTCCTGAGTTCAATTCCCAGCAACCACATGGTGGCTCACAACCATCTGTAATGGGGTCTGGTGCCCTCTTGTGGCCTGCAGGCATACACACAGACAGAATATTGTATACATAATAAATATTTAAAAAAAAAAAGAAAGAAAACATGAACATAAAGCTATTTTAGACACTCACTGGCTGCAGCAGGGCCAGCTGGCTTGGAGTCCAGGGCTTGCCGGGTTAGAGGAGGATTCCCTGAAATGACAAAAATATAAGTTAAAAATGGAAGCTGTAAGGCAGAAACACATTTTAGCAGCAAATTATCCTAAATTCTGCCACCAGAAAAAGAACTGAAGAACCTTTGCAGCATAGAGCACCTTACTCTGTGGGATGCACTTCAGACGGGTTCTTTCTGAACCCGTCATTTTTGAGATGACTTCCAGTCAACTCTCTGTATTTTAATAAGCATTGGTTTATATCTCTTACCACTCAAGCTCTTGTTATTCTAAGAGACGTTAATAAAGGAAACCATGAACTTAACCCTTCTTTCTTGCCAAACACTTATCCCACACAGAGATGGAAGAAAACTCAGCTTGTGTGTCCCATTACCAAACCAGGCAGTGTCCCCCAAGCAAGCAAAATTCCTTAACCATCTGAGCCACGCCAGGGCCAAGCCTGGGATCTCCGGGCAGAAGCCTAGCTTTTCGCTCTACTTTCCCTTCTGATTCAGGCCATGACTGAGAGGAGATGGCCAGGCTACTGCTGCAGGAGATCACGATTCTTCTGCCACTCTGCGTGGCGTCAAGCTGAGACCCTAAACTTCTGCAGGGAGGGAATGCAGCAAGTCTTTATGGCGTTTTAGAATTAAGCGTTTAATGTCAGTCCTGATGGCTACAGCATTAGGTGTATTACTGGTGTCAGCAAGTGAGTTATTCCACTTAATCCATGTATCAAAGATTTAGTGTAGCTACTGTTACATTTCCAGAGTTAGAGGTGAAGACACGAAATACAGACTCACAAAGACGTACGTGACAGAGACTCAAACTCCTTCTGGGCCCAGTGTTTGAAATCTGTGTATAATTCAAGAGATAAAGGGCAGAACTGGAAAGATGATTCAACAGTTAGGAGTGTTTGCTGTTCTTGCAGAGGACCTAGGTTTAGTTCCCAGCACCCACATGGCAGCTCACAACCATCTGTCACTCCAGTTCCTGGGGATCTGATGCCCTCTTCTGGCCTCCACATTGGCCCTGCATGCACATGGTACACATACATACATGCAGGCAAAAGCACCCTACACATAATTAAAAAAAAAATTTTAAAGAGGCAAATGACCACTAGGCAGCACTATGCACGTAACTGCTTACTGTGTTATATATAAAATATTAAATGAGAGTTTAGATTTTCTTAATTCTTCAAACGTTTTGGGTTATGGCAACAGATCTCTCAAATATTAAAATGAGGACATATAGCCCAAATGAAAAATACCAAGCAGAATGCTACTTTAGTAGACACAAATCAGCAGGCCCGGATTTTCTGTACCCAAAGCTGCCAGACAAGCCACTCTGGCTTTATCTCAGGGATCCTGTCCACTTACCTTTCGGCTCACCAACACTGCTGTATGGTTTACTGGCAAATTCTCTAATCTGCGGAAGATAAAACAGTCTGCTAGCAGTTCATATTCTTAATGAGAGAGGGACTGGACAAAGCTGGACATGGTTGGTGGTGAATTAACCCCACCCTGTGCTCCTTGACAGAGGAAGGAGCTGTAGAAACTTAGTCCACCAGATCTGGCTATTTCTCCAAGTGATCATGGGCAGACGTCTTACCTACCTTCAAACGTACTGTCTGAGGCATCTCTATGTCTAAAGTAGCTTTGGGGACAATCACGGGAGGAAATGGTCCACGTCTATCATCTTCAAGATGGTGTAAACTAAAGCCCTCTGCTCCTAGACCAAGGAGCTCAGCACAGACTCCTCCATGGCGCACCTGCTGCTTCTGACTGAGAATCACTTCATTCTGCTCCTTGAGCTTCTGATCTAACTCTTCCACCCGCTGCTTGTAGAAAACATTATCTGCACTGAGATCCTTCATCATCGAGCTCCGGAGCTTCTCTATATGTGACAGGAGCTGCAATGACAACGGGGAAGGATATTTGTTGGCAAAACGCAGGTACGGTTGCAGATTTTATGAGATTGTCTTGACTCCTCTGCTGGCTTTATGCGGTTTCTGTGCGTTGAGTCATACAGAAAATCTTCAGTCAATGCCCATCAAGGCCCTGGCTGTGCTAGACTTCATCTCTTCCCAGGGGTTTATGGTCTGACACAGAAAAAGCTGCTCAGGTGGGCAGCTGGGTCAACGTGAGCACATTCCATGGACTAACTGACGCACAGCTGCTTGGGGACCGAGGACAAGGGTCTTCCACCTCCAGGATGAACTTTCCATACAGCCCTGTCCCCTGCCCTCATATCCACATGCAACATGTCAGCTCAACTGGGCAATCATGGATCAGCAGTCAGCATAATCACGGGCCGCACAGGTGGGAGCTTCAGGAATAGAGGGAGAAGGGAGGCGTCAGTGATGTGGGATTCCCCTCTGGATGCTGTAAATATGTTTTATTGCCATTGGTTAATACAGAAGCTGCTCTGGCCAATGGCTTAACAGAATATAGCCAGGTTGGAAAAGATATCTAGAGAGAGTAGGCAGAGTCAGAGAGAAGCCATGTAGCTGCCCACAGGAGACAGATGCACGGGGACCTTGCTGGTTAGCCACAGCCACACAGATTAATAGAGATGGGTTAATTTAAGATATAAGAGCTAGTCAGAAAACAAAAAAAAAGAAAGGAAGGAAGGAAGAAAGAAGGAGCTAGCCAGAAATACACTTAAGCTACTGAGCAAACAGTGTTTCAATTAATACAGATTTTGGTGTGATTATTTAGGGAGGCTGGGTGACCAGGAAGCCCTAAAGCAGCCCTCCCCCCCAAAAAAACAACTGAGTCAGAGAAAGAGAGTAAAATGTGCATATAGTCATCACTAGAGACCATGATGGTCAATCTCTTTTTCTTTTCACTTGTATAAGTGTGTGGTCTCTCTGTGTGTATGTGTGTGGGTGCCCACCCACGTGAGAATACACACACGTTTGCCCATGTCCACAAGGAGGTCCAAGGTTGATAATGGAGTCTTCCTCTACCATTCCTTATCTCAGTCAGGCAGTCTCTCAACCCACCCCTGAACTGGGGGACATGGCTAACCTGCGGCCTTCCAAGGCAGGAATTACAGGTGTGCTACCATGTCAGCTAAGCATTTTTGCAGGCTCTGGGAACATGAACTCCTGTCCTCTTGTTTGCGTTGCAAGCTCTTTAACTGCAGAGCCAACCCCTCAGCCCATATGATGGCAATCCTGCCAGCTTAACGGGATTTAGAGTTCCCACAGAAATGAGCTTCCAAGCCTGTTTGTGAAGGATTTTCCCAACGGAGTTCACTGCAGTGGGAAGACCCACCTTGAATGTGGGCGCCACTGTACGGGACCCGAACTGAGTAAGAAGTGGAAGGGGAGCCAAGCAGTGTCACTCCTCCCGTTCCCGACAGTCAGGTCTAACGCAGTCAGCTGCCTGAAGCTCCTGCCTCCATCCGTTCCCAGCGTGGCAGGCTGCATCCTCCAAGTGTGGACCAGAGTAAGCCCTTCCTCAAGTGGCATTTGCCAGGCATTTCACCATACTCACCCATAAACTGGCATAGAAACGTAACGCCGGGGGAGATTATACACTGGTAATTCAAGCCATTTCAGTGGTTGACAGAACAGAAGGGGTAACGGAAAACAAAACGAAACAAAACCCAGCTTGGTCGCTGGTACTCGGGACACCAAATTGAGGAGGGCTGGCCCCCAAGAAGCAAGAGACCCTAGGAAAAAAATCAGGGGGTGACATTATTGTGACACCACAGTAAAGAATGGGTTACAAAGGTAAAAACAAGAATATGGTGAGAGGGGGATTTGAAGAGCTTAGACAAGATGGTCAGACACCACCTCACGAAGCCTCTGTGTGTGTGTGCGCGCGCACGTGGATTTCAAGCCCTCTGCTATCCTCTATAGCCTCACTCATAACACCAGCCTCCTCTGTCACTGTGCGTGACCATAACACACCTCCTGGGCTCTCACGCAGGGTCAGAAAGGTCACACCACGGATTATCCGTGACTCCCTTTGAACTCCTACCAATATTATTTAAAAGGAAGACAGACTGCCAAGAGCCTAGGAAAAGCAATATCAAGTTGGCACAGGCAACTTCCCCTAACCAGAGAAACAGTGCGCGCATTGTGGGGAGAGCAGGCGCCAATCATGTGGAATAATAGGTCTCAGGCAGAGATGACTGCATGTGACTGAATTCACCTCTCTGGTAGGGTGTGAGACAGAGAAGCAAGCAGCTCCTAAACAGCTGAAGCAGCGAAGGAGCAGTCTATCCCGGCAGGGCAGGAGGCTGTGCACCCAGACTGTGCACAAGCCAGCCTTAGGTTAGGGGGAACCGCTGGGATGAGCTCCTAGCAGAAGGCAGCGAAAGGGAGGAACATCACAGGCTGTGAACCCACATTGTTGACTTTCAGCTGTCTTGCTCCTGAGCCCTTTAACAGAAGTCCCAGCCCTCCCCACAGAGGAGGAAGAAAACAAGGAGTGACATGCCCAGAGGGCTTGAGTGACACTCCCACGGGCCATATCAAGGGCAGCTTCAGGAAGCTAACCCAGGCTGGCCATAGGCGCTCTGAAGGAGAACACAGCTTAGGCAATGTTCTGAGTACAGCTTGTGGACTCTTGAGCTGCGGCCCCAGCCAAGTTGTGCCTCCGACTCCTGTCCCACAGAAAGTGCGAGATGACTAATGTGGATTATTTAAGGCTGAAGTTGTAACAGGCTGCCACAGCGAGTAGAAAACTGACAGAAAGGGGAAGCAGCCATGAAAAGAACAAATGGAGAGGCTTTCCCATATGTTTTTCAAAAAGAGCAGGAGCCGGGCGGTGGTGGTGCTCGCCTTTAATCACAGCACTCGGGAGGCAGAGGCAAGCGGATCTCTGTGAGTTCGAGGCCAGCCTGGTCTACAGAGCTAGTTCTGGGACAACTAGGGCTGCTGCACAGAGAAACCCTGTCTTAAAAAGCAAAAAAGGAGACCAGGGTGAGTCTAGAAAAATCAGTGGATAAAGTACATGAACACTGGCATGAGGACCAGAGTTCAGATCAGGCTGCTGTTCTTGGGAGGTGATGACCCTGAATCCCTGCAGCAGGCCCATGGGCCAGACAAACCCCCCACATCATCAAACTCCAGGCTCGGCAAGAGATCATGTCAGGAAATAAACCGCAGAGTGACTGGGGAAGACATCCTCAACATCAACCTGTGCCCCCCACACAGTGCACACAGGACCACATGGCAAGTGAACATGCACACACACACACATACACACGACCATATAATCTTTAGTAATATGATATTCTGCCTAGTACTCTATGAAAGGAGTACTTAGTACTAACTACAGGAAGGAACATTATATTAGGAAATATGTGGATGAGGAAACAAGATACTCTGTGTGGAAAAGATCTGTTAGCAATACAGAGGGCACAAAAGACAATATTATTTTTTTTAAAAAAAACAAGATTTCCTATCTTAAGATATTCTCAAATACCTCTTCTTTAGGTGCTTTGTCCCGGGGGAAACATTAACAATGAGTTTTCTGCTATACTCAGGGAACAGGAATCGGGGAATTACTTTTACATTAACATGTTGTTTTCATTAGACTGTTAATGTTAACAGTCTTTTATTTATGTTCCAGCTCAGAAACGTGAAAAAACCCAGATTTATCAGTTCAATAACAGAAATGATGAACACATGAGACACCTAAGATCATCTCCCAGCAATAAAATGACGTTGGACGGTATCTTTTAAGCACAAAGCATCCATTACCTAGGAAGAGCAAACGCACATTTTGTAAGGATCTATCTATATGTGGGGGTTTAGAGTTCTAGGAACGTAGCCCTTAGAGAAGCACATGGGGCAATCGTGGCATGGACGTTATGATCAGCTTAAGGCCTGCACCACAGGAAGGAACTCCTGCTTGGTACTGGAAAGCAGGCCAAGAAACTGGTTGGAAAACTTGCTCCTAGCGTTTTGCTGAGGGCACGGTATCAAATGCTTCTACATACCTTCTTTATACCTTTAGGTTATCATGGATCTCCATCCTCACTAGAGATGCTTCTCTTTGCAGTGGACCGTGGTTAATACAAAGATTCACAACTCATCAAAGAGGATAAGCGATTGTGGGCTGTTCATCCATAAACAGGACATATGCCCCCCCCCCCACCCGCACACTACCCAAGGCTCAGAGAAAAGAGTGGAGGAAGAATGTTAAGAGCCAGAGATGGGAGGCCCCGTCTATAAAACAGCTGGACATGATGTATTCCCCAGGAATTTGGTGTCCTCTTTGGGTTTAGCCTAGTTAATAAAAGAATTTAAAAGCATACTCAGAAGAAAGCTTGAGGACACTTTTATTAGTGTTTAAGAGAATACCAGCATGTCAGGCGAGCTGAAGTTTTGGCAGCAGCCTGGAGGGGAAAGATGGAAAAAAGGAGAAGGGAAAACTATGTCATTTGTAAGCGGTCACAGGGTGAAGGGCACAGAGCTTAAGAGAAAGAGCAAAGAAACGAAGAAACAAAGAGGGAAGTTTCTGAGTCTGGACTTAGAAAGGGGGGCAGGCTCCAGAGTCACCTAGCGATGACAAAGCGGTTGCACTCAGGAACTCAGGGAGGCTGTGATTGCCTGCGTTAGATAAAGTCAGTCAACGATCCAGCGTGGCCAGGGAAGAAGCTCATGAAGCCCCATCTGGAGCGGAGGAGCTGCTGGAAGGGACAGAGCCACTTCTCATCAATGGTGTGGCCCCTGGGAGGGTGCGCGTGCCCAGTGGGTGGCCCTAGAACCGTGTGCACAAGGGCAACACTACTGGAGTCAGCGGGTTGTTTTTGGAACAGACTGTAGAAAGGAGACATGAAGTGAGGAGGAGGAGGGGACACAGTGGTGAAGCCCACCACCAGAATGAGCTGGGGGTGGAGTCAGGGATGAGTGAGGTCAAAATACACTGGATCTGTGTGTGAGAGTCTCGGAGGACAAAGAAAATCGTCTGCAAAAAGACGTGCAGCACTTATAGAGAGAAAATTGAAGAGAAACTTACAAAGGAGTAGCAGCGGTTAATTTTGTATTAAAGTTATAAATAATTCTAGGTATTATTTTACACATTTCTCCAGAAATGTTAAGTAGGAAATACTACCTTCATTATTGAGTTAATTAGAAATTCTTTTCAAAATGGCCAATGTGCTGCCGGGCGATGGTGGCGCACGCCTTTAATCCCAGCACTCAGGAGGCAGAAGCAGGCGGATCTCTGGGAGTTCGAGACCAGCCTGGTCTACAGAGCTAGTTCCAGGATAGGTTCCAAAGCCACAGAAAAACCCTGTCTCGAAAAACAAACAAACAAAAAACCCAAAACAAAATGGCCAATGTGTGCATGTGTGTGATGTGCCTAAGCATGCTTGAGGCCCTGATTCCATCCTCAGCAGGAGAGACTCAGCAGGGGAGCTGATCAGATGGTGCTCCTGGATTCTCAGCCCTGGAGAGACGAGATGGGGAGCTGACCAGATGGGGCTCCTGGATTCTCAGTCTTACCTGTCCCTTCTCCTTGCTGTGATCCTCACTGAGAACTTGAAATCGATTTGTCCACTTGCTCGCCTGGAGGAGAGAAAAGAGTGGGTCGTCTGTAGCAGCTGATGCAGAGGCCATGAAGCAGTGCTGCTTACTGGCTTGCTCCCCAATGGCTTGCTCCCCAATGGCTTGCTCAGCCTGCTTTCTTATAGAACCAGGACCGCCTTCCCAGGGATGGCATTACCCACCATGGGCTGGAGCCCCCACTCTGCCCATGATCACAAATTAAGACAAACTCCTACAGTTTGTCTACAGCTGGATCTTATGAGGCAATTTCTCAATTGAGGTCCTTTCCTTTCCAATGACTGGGGAGCAGGGGGCAAAGCACTAAGGTTTCTGGGTCTTACTGACAGGCAAGTCAGCTCATGGAAGACAGTATATCAGGGCAAGTCAGCTCATGGAGGACAGTATATCAGTGGAAAGCAAATGTCAACAGAGTAGGCCATCTTCCAGTTTTCTACGCATGCTCAGGAACTGACTGAGCAACCACTGGCAACGTGGAGGATTTGAAGGACACCCCCAGCTCTGTATGGGCAAGGAAGGGGTGGACACGGTGATGCCGGAGCTCCTGTTGAATGTGTATAACTAAGTTCTGATCAAACAAACACTAGAGTCTAGAGGAGACTCGGGAAAACCCCGTGAGTAGTGTTCCAGTGATCCTGGGGGATAAATGTGAGGCAGATCTTAAAAGCAGAAAGGTCCCAGCCAGCAGAAAAGGGCAACAGGGCCATGGTGGGCAACGGGGAGTCATGGTCTAGAGCAGTGGTTCTCAACCTTCCTAAGGCTGTGACCCTTTAACACAGTTCCTAGTGTGGTGGCAGCTCCCAACAATAAAATTATTTCCATGGCTACTCCATAACTGTAGTTCTGATACTGCTATGAAACATAATGTAAACGTCTGATATGCTGATGGTCTTAGGCAGCCCCTTGCAAAAGGGTCGCTTGCAACCCAAGGGCTTGCAACCCCCAGGCTGAGAACCACTGTTGTAGAAAGAGGACCCTGGGGCAGAGGGAAGATCATCACTGCAAATTTTAAAGTCCGGTGGGAAACAAGGCCTTGTTGCTAGCTGGGGCAGGACGCCGGGGACGCAGGGAGGTGGTGTCACCGAAAGGTTAAAGGTAGATAGGATGATGACATGCATAGCCAGCTGTGATGGAGAAGGTACATTGAAGGGAGGCAGACACAATGTAGCATCAAAACAAGAAACGGCAATCATATTTCAAAATGCTCTTACCATTTAAAAATTTCATAGGTTTATCTTTCTTAAAGTGTTATGTTTATTTGTTGTGCGTACATGTATGCATCTGTGTGTACATGTATGCATCTGTGTGTACATGTATGCGTCTCTGTGTGTACATGTATGCATCTGTGTATGTACATGTATGCGTCTCTGTGTGTACATGTATTACATGTATGCATCTGTATGTACATGTATGCGTCTGTGTGTACATGTATGCGTCTGTGTATGTACATGTATGCGTCTGTGTGTGTACATGTATGCGTCTGTGTGTACACATGTATGCACCTGTGTGTACATGTATGCGTCTCTGTGTGTACATGTATGCATCTGTGTGTACATGTATGCATCTGTGTGTACATGCATGCATATGTGTATGTACATGTATGCGTCTGTGTATGTACATGTATGCGTCTGTGTATGTACATGTATGCGTCTGTGTATGTACATGTATGCATCTGTGTGTGTACATGTATGCGTCTGTGTGTACATGTATGCATCTCTGTGTGTACATGTATGCGTCTGTGTGTACATGTATGCGTCTGTGTGTACATGTATGCGTCTGTGTGTACATGTATGCGTCTGTGTATGTACATGTATGCGTCTGTGTGTACATGTATGCGTCTGTGTGTACATGTATGCATCTGTGTATGTACATGTATGCGTCTGTGTGTACATGTATGCGTCTGTGTGTACATGTATGCATCTGTGTATGTACATGTATGCGTCTGTGTGTACATGTATGCGTCTGTGTGGGTACATGCAAGGTCAAGCATTGACACTGCACACAAGTGAAGGTCTGAAGACAACCAATGAGAGTCGGTTTATTCCTTTCCCATGTGGGTCCCGGGGGTTGAACCTAGGTCATCAAGCTTGGTTGGCAAAAACCTTTACCCTGTGAGTAGGCTCAGTGACTCGAAGGCTTTTAAAATTATTATTATAGAATTCACAGGTTATAACTCCCCCCAACATAGAGTGGACATTGAATGTGAGGCCTCACACAGGCTGTACCACTTACCTAGATCCTTACCCCTTTTAATTTTTAATTGCTTTCCATAAACCACTGAGATAAAATAACTTTTATAGAGTGATTATGGAGTCTGACTTCCAAATGAGAATAAAATACACAAAAGGTATCAGTTTGCCAATGCAGTGCTATACGTCAACTAAGTTTGAAGCTTCAATATGCAGTTTTTAAAAAGCGAGATGTACACCCGCAAGAGGAAAGACATTAAACAGCAAGGCGAACTGACTAAGGACACAAGTCCAGACTGACAATTTCATAGTTAAAACTGAAAAATTTCTGCTGTTTTATAGTCACACCTATGAACCAACACCTACTCTGAGTTAGGCATGTGTCGAGATACAAGGGAAAAATAAACAAACAAACACATTTGGTGTGAACAAACTCACTAAGGAAAAAACACTGGTGAAGAGTGCTGACTGCACTTGCAGGGCACCTGAGCTCAGTGTCCCCTTTCTGGATGAAGACTACCTGCGACTCCAGTTCCTTGGGATCCAGTGCCCTCCTTCGGGCCTGTACACACACTGCACAATAACCTCGTGCAGATGCAAGCAGAAGCAACCAAGTGAATGTTGTAAGCTGTGCCTGCGGTCACCAGCCATGCCATACTTGGCCGCGCCATACCTGGCCTTCCAGGAGCTGAAGCATGTTCTGGAGATCCTGGGGACTCGGGAGGTGATCTTCCTTACACTCATGAGCGTCTCTTAAGGAGCCGATGTTGGACTTGAACTTCATATTGGACTTCTGTATTTCTAACAATTGCTGTAAATGGGGAAAAAGAGTCACTGGTAGATACGCTACACATTTATCTAACAGACAGTGACAAAGCTCGCGAGCACAAAGCCACGTTCAACTTGAACGCCCTTCCAAACAAACACTCCCACACAGTTCTCCTGCCTGTCCCATGCTTCCTCTTGTTTCTACCTCTCTCTGATCTTTGACATTTCTTTCCAGAGTGCATACAGGTTTAAAAAACAGAAAGGAAAAACTAAACTCATTATTAAAAAATGGTTTACTCTTGGAGGGGGGTAGGACATGCCACAGTGTGCATGGCTCTCAGAGGACAGCTGTGGAGTCTGCCCTTTCTTTCTACCTTCATGTGGATTTGGGGGACCGAGCATGGGTCAGCCATCCCCCCAAAACCTGGGTCAGCAGCAGTCTTACACAGCAAATGCTTTACTCGCTGAGCTACCTCTCTGGTCCCAAACCAACTTTCTGGCCTTTGACAATGGGTCTTTACATTTTTAACAAAAACACTACATTTGTGAGAGGAACTGGGTATACCTGTCTCTTTCTGTTTGTTTGTTTTGAGGCAGATCTGGCTTTGCTGCTCAAGCTGGCCTTGAACTCTTGCTGATCCCGTCTCAGTCTCTTTAGTGCAGGACTCCTGGGGTATATCACCACACCCTCGTGACAGCTAGTTCTAAGAAGCTAAGACTGTAATGGAAGGTCAACCATCCAGGGGACCATAGTAAGAAATTCACTAGGACTAGACTTCTAATTTTCTCAACGTTAACAATAGAAAAAGAAGAAGAAGTAAAAAAACCAGTGCAGACAGCAAGAGGCAATAAAGTTACCATCAGAAAATGGAAGGGTGGGAGTCTACCCTCTGTGTGATCACAGCAACCACTCAATGCAAAGGAGTTTTTCAGTGCAGAAGCATGTTCCCACCAACACTACGGTAAGGCCAAAGTGAAAAGCCACAGACGGTGAGGACCACGGGTGCCTATGGACGATGGTGTGATGAACTGACACGTTGTCTCCGAGCCCCTGCCCACAGGAACTCAGACTAGTCAGGAGAAAGCCCCAGCAGCGCTTCTGTAAATGATTAGGCTCATCTATAGTAAGACGGAAACACTGCAACAGACGAAGGAAAGCCCAAGGAGACAACGTGACTAGCTGTCACACAGTGTTGGACGAGACCTTGAGCAGGAAAGGAATGGGAAAGGATTTGGCTTTGTTCCAAGGTAGCCATTAGTTTTGTTTCTAAGACGTGCGGCCCCTAGAGGGAGCCTAAGGATCGCCCTCAGCGCCCTCCCCTTTCTCTAGGAGGTTTCAGAGCCAAAGAACTGGATGGCCAGGCCCTGAAGATGAAGGTTCTGACCCGAGAAAGTGATTCTATCACACACGTCCGTTCCCACCTGGCACAGAGACCCCTGCCATACCCTGCTCACTGTAGAGACCGAATCCTCTTCATAGGACAGGTGCAGAGAGAGGAGCGGGCTAGACAAGCACCTCCCCCCCAATAGGACAGGTGCAGAGAGAGGAGCGGGCTAGACAAGCACCTCCCCCCCACACACACTTTGGTGATCTGTGTCGGCCTTTCCACCCACTACTTGGAACATTCTAGAATTTGGAGAAGGGTTTGTGGTTTAAGGCTATTTAAAGCTAACCACATAAAGAACGAACAGAGTTTCTGGGAGCTGAACAAACGCATCCCCAAGTGTTCTGTACTAGAGCCTGTACGGACTGCCCTATAACAAAACAATCCCGTTCACCCGCTCTGCCTCCTGCGTGCTGCAGGCTCCCTGGTAGGAGGGGCCGTGCCTACCTGGCAGGATGAGATATCTGACCGTCTGCCATGACGCCATGCTAACACTGTCTGAAAGCGAGCAATACTATGAGAAGGTCTATGATCAATACTCACGTATTCTAATGCCGAATTCTTAGAAGTTAGTTCTTTAAATTCCTTCATGAACATCTCCTTGACCTTTTCCATTTCGTTGAGCAACTTCTCCTTCTCCTCCTCTTTCCATCTCTCAAACAACTTCAGGAAGTCATCTTCTTTCGACTTCTGCATTTCATATTCCTGAAATCATTTTCATATGTGTCAATAAAGGCTCTGGGATGAAACAGAGCCGCAAATTCTAAAACCAACTGGAGCTCCAGTCTGTCTTCTCTGTGGGAGACCAGTAGACGCTTCCCAAAACAGTAGGGTCTATACACAAAGATCCTTCCTAATTGAAACAGGGCTGGGGTGCAGGCGAGTGAGAAGGATCGCGGAGTAAGGGTACTTGGCGCCAAGCCTGACAACTTGAATTTGATCCCAAGACTCACGAGGTGGAAGGAAAGAACCAAGTGCAGCATCTGTCCTCTGGCTTCCACATGCCCATTCACATACGTTCTCAGTAAATACATGTAAATAAAAAACAAAACCAGAAACCACATTTGGAGACTGACGATACGGCTTGGAGGTGAACAGGGCTGGCTGCGCAAGCATGAGGTTCTGAGTTCAAATCCCTAACACACACCTATGAAGCCAGGGTGGCCACACATAAGGCTATAACTCCAGTGCTGTGGACGTGAGGGACAGGAGGATGGCTGAGGCTTGAGGGCATCCAAGTCTTGCTCCAGGTTCAGTGAAAAACCTCAAAGGAATAAGGGCCCTGGCCTACACACACACACACACACACACGCACCCACACACGCACGCACACGCCAGTATCCCCGTGTCCTTGCGTCTTTTAAACTCCTAGTGGTTACATCATCTCCCATAGAGAACTCCGCATCCTACCTTAGAGAACCGGACTGCATGGGCATGCTGGGAAGACTCCAGTTGAGACCTGGTGAGCTGCAGCTGTTCCTTCAACATTTCAACCTCCTTCTGGAGCCTGTCGGTCTGGGCCTTCGTATCATACTCTGTGGTGACAGAAAGTCTAGTTAGAATCTGGAAAACCTAGTTTCTTGTGAATTCACCTAAAACCTTACAGGGCACAGCTGTGTGGATAAGACACAGCTCCCGCTCGGATCACTATTATCTAGTGTATGCTATGAGCCCAGGCCTGCACTTTAGCGGGAGCCCTTCATGTGACCAGACACTTCATTAATTTTAGTGACTTCTGTCAGCCACTCGCTGTACTACAGCTTATTCACAGGGACAGCATACGAACGCTGTTCAGGGAGCAGTCCTGGTCGCTAGGACTCTGGACTCTTCAGACAAGTCCATCCCACTCAGAGCAGAGGAGCAAAGGCTTCGCCTGCAAGTACCACACCGTCGACATTTGGGCTCCCTCCCAATTGTCCTAAAGGCCCTGTCATTGGTCATATAAAGGCTGGGGACTCAAGATGCGGACTTGGGTAGTCATCTGTCAACTAAGGCAAAAGCGAAAGACTGGAAGGTTGTCCAAGGCAGCAAGGCATGAAGGGAGGAGTACGTATGATGTCCATGTACTTACATGAGGATGCACACATGACTGAATGGGTTTACATGTGCTGTGGGTGCAGACATGAAAGGGATGGAAACCAAAGCAGAAAGTCAGAACCTCAGAGATGACCTGAAGAGACAATACTCATCTCAGAGCCTGAAACGCCCTCTGACACGAGTATGAGAACAAGAAGAAACTGAAACAGAGAGAGAGGTCAGTTCACACGGAAGAGCGGCAGGCCACTTAAGAAGAGTTCAACATTCGCGTGCGTCCAGTGACACTGCTTACTCGCTCAGCAGCCCGTGGTTTATAATGGAAATTTCTGCTTTCTGTTCTGCCTCGGCTACAAAGCACCGCGGGCAGGACGAGAAACAGACCGGCCCCGAGTGAAGGAAACCAGGGCATCTACTGAAAACACGCCTGCCCTGCTGGAGGAGGAGACCAGCCGTGCTTTGAGAGCATTCAAACAGTGGGAAGACCGAGTCCTTGATAAACCAGAGAACCCTCTCCACAGGACCCTCTCCCATTTCTGTCTTTATTGCTACCTACTTCTATCTCTGCTTTCTGGCTACTTCCCATCAGCACCCAGACACATTAATGCCAATATAAGATGATTTTCTCTTGTCTCCACATTTCAATCAAGGTGCTGTCTCGGGTCTCCTGCTTCCCTTCCCAGCACACACTCAGACCGACCTGCAATGCCAAGGCCAACCACTGTGTGGCAGCAGTCAGTTCCCCATCAGCATTCCACTCTTAGCTTCAGGAACAATGATATATTTGAGCTCTGCCACCTTCTAGGAACACTTTTCCTCTTGCTGTTCAAGACAGCACACTCCATAGGTCACCCTCACAGGACCGTCTGCCTGCCTTTCTTGAGGAACAATGTTGGGAGATCTAGCAGAGGCCTTGGGTCTTCTGACCTCTAACTAGAAGGCTCCAACCAGCCCCCGTCCTCCAGGGTCCTTCCAGATCCCTCTCTCTACCCCGGGTCTCCATCTGCAAGCATCCGCTGTGTGACTTGCGTGTCTCTTGCACGTGTGATGCAAATGTACGTGTGGCCAACACAAACTCTCCTGCCTCCGCCTTCTTTGAACCGTCTTCCCACCCCTCACCCTCCAGCACAGAAAGCGTTCTCCTACATAGGAGCAGGTCTGTGCTTCATCTCTTGCTTCCTCCTCAAGTCATAACCGTAGGCTCTGTGTCCGGCACGTTCTTCTCTCCCTCTGCCCTGCAACCATTCCCGTCTCGGCTTCCTCCTCTTCTCGCGTGGACTTCTAGGCACCTCCTCCCTCTTCTACCAGCTGCCACTATTGCCCCTGCGGGCGATTCACCCGCAGCTAGGATGCTCTCTGTCATCATTCTCCCAACGAAGGAGTCACCCCACGTCTTCCCACTGTACCCCCATAACCCATAGGCCAGGGCCTTCGTCTCCTCCTGAGATCAGTTCCCCCAAGCCTCCAGCCTCCCCACCTGCCGTGGCCTTACTCACCCCACTCCTGTTCTCTAGACACACCGTGCAGCCTCTCCTCCCGCCCCCACTATCAGCGGTCCGTGAACCTCGGATGCTCTAGTCCCGAGATCTCACCAGACCGCAACTCCTTTAGGACTCTGCTCTCTGGATAGAAATCGCTTCCTCAGAGAGGCCTCCAAAGCCTGCCTGGGATGATTCTCCCTGTCTCTGTCCTTCATAGCCTTGGATACGTTCTTTGGATCTGGCACTCGGAAACCAGCGCCCTGGTTCCAGTGTCACTTTGGCTCTCCATTTGCCCGCAAGACTCGAAGTGGGATTTCTCCAGCGTGCTCACACTGCGTCCTCGGCATCAGGGCACTGAGAACTTACACATGGGATTTACTCCTTTACAGCCTGTGAGACTTTCTTTTAAAAGGACCGAGAAATGCACCGGACCATGACTCACTGAGAAAGGAACAAGGCAGCAGAGGGAATGTAACTCTGACGGAGTTCATGCCTTACCAAGGTGGGACTCTGCAGTGTGGCGGCGCTGAATGTGGCTTTGTAGGAAAGCTTGGTTCATGAAGGCCTTGTCACAGAAGTGGCACTGGAAAGAAAGCAACACAGTCAAGTGTCTGCAGCGAGATTCTCCATCTACCTGCAGTAAAAACCAGGGACCTTGAAGCATGACCTTGGCAGCTTCTCCTAAAAGATAAAGAAGCTGGCTAGAGACGCTAACCCAAAGGGCAAAGGTAAGGTAAGAACACCCTTCCCAAGCTGAAACAAGTCAAGGGAATACATCTCCTGACAGCTGAAGCATCTCCTCTGGTAACATATGGAAGCCCTACTGATGTTTCTATTACGTCGACTTCCATCCTATTGCCACTGAATTGCTCATGGTAGGCTGGTAGACCACACCAGACATCAGCCCTGCTAACATCTTGATGTAGGATTCCCAGCTTCCAAATATCGTGAAAATAAATTTCTGTTACTTAAGCCATCTAATTGATGGTATTTGTCACGGCAGACCTAGTAGCTAATACAGGTATACACACATATGTGGACGTGTTTGTAGATGTGTCTGGAGTGTCTGAAACCTACAAACACTCTCCTATGAATATATACAACTGTGAAGACTTTTCAAAGGTACATGGTATACAACAGACATGAAGGAGAATACAAGGACACAATATTTCCTCTGGAAATGGATGGAGGGAAACTATTTAAAAAAATAAGAGTATGGCCTCTGGGAATTGGTCATACTCCAGGGGATGACCCCACACCCAAGAGTATGCGGATAGGACAAACTGGACACCACAGGTTTTTTTTTTTTTGCTATTTTACAGAGGACATGAGGTTAGTGGGGACAGATCTGGCAGGAGCTGGAGGAGGTGAATATGATTTTAAAAAGTTATTAAAATTCTTAAAGTTAATAAAATTTTATACAAAAATAATGGAAAATATATCTTTTTGTTTAATCTTAAAGTTTCCCCAACATAGAGGATGGAAATACAGCAAAACCCTAGCACGCACTACATTTTGAAGATGGGTAAACGTGTCAGTTACACTGGTCTATGTGTTCTTTCCATGCTTAGGTTAGTTCACTGTTCGTTCTTATCGACTTCTCTTTTTAAATCTTCTACATATGAATATTCACATTTTGTTTTTTCTGTATATTGTAAATTCTACATGATAAAATATTGAGGGCAAAGGCAGTGTGGATTGCCATTGTAACCCTTTTACACATCCTGGCTGCACACCACACATCACACGCACATTCTGTGGGAAAAGGCCTTCAAGAAGTGGACATCCTGGAATATTTCATTTCTACTACACGATTCCCGAGATTTCTTGAATCAAAAGAACATGGAGACAAAGAAAGGGATAAAGGAATGAGATCAGGATTACTGAAGATGACCTGGATCACGTGGTTTGCCCAGTCTCTTTGCAAAGAGCCCAGGGCTTCTGGACTTTGTCTGCAGAGGTAAGGAAACATCAACATGCTGGAAGTCACGTGACTTTTCTCATCTTGTAATAAATCAGCTATGGTGTTTGTTTTGTCGGCTATAGGGCTTCCCCACCTCTCTCTCAGGTTTTGGCTACAACAACAATTAGCTGTATGTTAAGAGAGGCCACACGAGCGCCATTAGCAATGGCTAAGATGCGGGGACGACAACATTCCCGTTCCACAGAGCAGACATTCATCTACATAGGAGCTGAGCAATTTGCTAAGGCCTAGCAGTTGCAACAGCAGTAGAGGCGTGCTGTGGAATATTCCTTTACACTATGTGAAGGTATTTCACTGTGACTGGTTTAATAAAATGTCAAATGACCAACAGCTAGGCAGGAGGTATAGGCGGGACTTCTGGACAGAAAGAGCTCTGGGAAGAAGTGGAGCTGCAAGACAGAGGAAGCAGGATGGAGAGGACAGAGTAAAGGCAACTGAGCCACATGAAAGAAGAGATTTAAAATATGGGGTTAAGTTAAAAGAGCTAGTAGGATAAGCCTAAGCTGAAGTTGAGCTTTCATAATTAATGTCTCCCCATCATTTTTTGTGAGTTGGTGGCCCAAAGACGAATCCGTCTGGGATTTGAACCTACTCATTCCCTAGAGAGCGTCTCCATTGCTGTTCTCTGTGTGAGCAGAGGCATGGGACCTGGATGCACACTGTCAGTCAGGCCACACGAAAGAGGCCACAGGATGGAACACATTCACCAGCAGAGAAGTGACTCCCACTCTCTTGATTATGTCTAAGACCCGACTGCGCTTTTCCATGTCATGGAATTTCTTACAATCTGAACATGCAAACAGGCCCTCAGCACGTTTATCTGACATTGAAGGTGTGGTAGACTGTGAGGGAAAGAGAGAGAGGAGGGGGGAAGGAGGAAGAGACGAGAGAAAGCTCGGTCCACCTGGAGCCACGTTTCCCTGTGAAGCCTGAGGACAGACAGAGTCATTTGACTCACTTTGCCCAGCAGGATTCTGACTCTGTTGACTCCTCCCCCAAGCCAGCAGCATCAGAAAGGTGTGGCTGTTCCCTAACAGGGGGCGTTTCTCACTCCACACCTCGGGAATCAGAATCTCCAGAGTATCACAATCCTGGCAGGTAGGGGAAGGCCATGAGGAGTGCTTGGCCAATAAATGAATCTTCTCTAATTGAAAAAATGAAGTGTGTGTGTGTGTGTGTGTGTGTGTAAGTGTATACTCACACTGGGGAACTTTCCCCACGTATCCTTCCTTTTCCGTGCCCACCACACTACCTGTGTTCTACTACACTATGCTCCTCACTTTCCTCTCCTCTCCCAACGGCCTCTCTTTCTAGTTTCCTGACTTCTACAGGTACCCCACCATAAACACACAAATCTAAGACTCAATTTTATGATCCACATATGAGAAAGAACTTGTATTTATTCTTCTGGGTCTGGACTACTAAAATAAAATTATACTGATCAATTTATCTACAAAGTTCATAATTTTATATTTCTCTACTGGTACCTAAAACTCCATTGTGTATACATAGTAGCACCATTCTACAGCTGGTGTTTATCTAGTTATCCTACACAGAAGGATAACGCCCCTCCAAGAAGCCTTAGGTTACCAAATGAAAACCCAGTGACAGGCGTGGGAATACTCTATAGGGTTGCTGCGGGAGTCCCAGAAACTCCAAAAACAATACAGTATAGTACCAGTGCTCCTGGTTACCTACTAGAACATGATTGTAAGACCTGTACTTTGATTACAGGACATGGGTAAACCACATTGGTTAACATGAAGTTTCTCCCCTGCTGGTTAGCTTTCACGGTGTCGTAAGGTGCTGTGAACCCTGCTGAGGGAGAACAGCCATCAGCAGGGTTACCCAGCTGTGACTCCTGCAAGTCATCATGGCAACCACCCTGACAAGATCAGCCAGTGGTGCAGTGGTGGCATGGACGTGAGGGGAGATGACAAACAGCTCACGAAGCGTGGAAGACAAAGCGGAAAGACTTTAGCGCCGATGTCAGGAAGATTCCTTAGAAACAATGTCTGGAGCCGGGCGGTGGTGGCACACGCCTTTAATCCCAGCACTCGGGAGGCAGAGGCAGGCGGATCTCTGTGAGTTCGAGACCAGCCTGGTCTATAAGAGCTAGTTCCAGGACAGGCTCCAAAACCACAGAGAAACCCTGTTTTGAAAAACCAAAAAAAAAAAAAAAACAAAAAAAAAAAACAATGTCTGGTAGAGAAGATGTAAAACGATGAGGCCATTGCATTCACGAACCCACAGCAGCCATGGCCACCGGCATAAGACCAGCACAAGATCAAGCCTTCAGCACTCCGGCTTGGAGAAGGAACAGGCTCCTGAGGCTAGCTACACTGGCAATGCTACACTGGCAAAGAGATAGTCGCCTTTCTTCTGCGGTGTAGTTTGTCCACGCTCCAGTAGAGGGCTAGCTACCTACACACAGGAAGGACAAAGCCCTAGGTTGCATTATTTTTTAGGCATTAGATTAATTAATTTTAATTCATTAATAAAAACTCAACTATATCCTAAAGTCAAACGACAAATGAGATCAAGTGTCTTGCCCTAAACTGTTTTGCTGACCAAAATATAACCTGAAGTGTCAATGTTTGCTCTTCATGGCTGTGGTCTGAGCCCCCGACTCACCACATCTCCAGTACTGAAGCCTACTTCAGCTCCCATTTTCCGAAGACCACTTGAAGCCATTTAAAGAGTATCATCTCACACGTGTCAAAAGTACATTAATTCTGTCAACCAACAGGTTGACCTTTTTTTTAAAAAAAAAATCAGAGTTGGTCCTTCTTTCACTGAAGCACAAATTGAACCTCCCTAATCTGAAAGCTTTAAATCCAAAATTCTCCAAAGCATAGACATCTACCCACAAGTATGAAACTCCACACACAACTCTACGCGATGGGTCTCAGTCAAAACATATTTGCGTAAAACCAACACCAGGCCATCGCTGTAAGCTGTATTTAAAATAGCACTTAATTATCTATTTAGATGTGGGTCTAGTGGGCTGGAGAACCTTTACTGTTCTTGCAGAGGACCCAGGAGAGAGTCTCAGCATCACATCAGGTGGCTCACAAACCACCTGTAACTCCAGTCCCAAGAGCTCTGACACTTTCCGGCCTCCTTGGACACCCTCACATGATCACACAGGCACATACACAGAAACACATATTTAGATTTGAGTCCCAGCCCCAAGATACCTCATTAGGTGAACACAAATATTCCAAATTTCCAAAGATGTCTGGTCCTAAGCAGTTCAAAGCAAGAGTTACTCAACCCATACCCTGATTTCAAAATTGCAGTATTTATCCTGGGTTCAACATCTAATTTGAACAGAGATTATGATTAGACTCAAAGGTGTTTAATTCTTTACATGCTAATCTTAGTATTCTTGTCCTTGGTAACCGCACACATTAATACATCAGGAGTCTATATAACTCATCGGGAGACAGCTCTTATGAAGGAACAAAACACAGACAGAGGAGAAACAGAAGCATGGCAAATGTAGGAAATAGGGGCCTGGCTGACGGACCCACTAAGGTTGTTGGTTCTACTTTGGGACTTCTCTGTCATTTGGGAAACACTTTAAATTTTAAAAAAAGGGGGTGGGTCCCTCACATGTTGAATCATATTTCAGATCCTCTGGGGGCCAACCTCAATAGCAATTTGTACACAACTGATTTTTTCACATCTATTGTAAAGGAGGAAACAGGTTCAACAGCCTATATTTGGACAATATCGTAAGTTATGCAGGCAATAGTAGATACTTGATAATCAATTCCTTGGTGGCTACAGAAGGTAATGAAACATTTTCTCTGTTGATTAAAACGAGTGTTTCTGCTTAGATCTGTTTCCTCTGAAGAACAAATCTCTGGGAAGAATGGAGAAGTCAGGGCTTCTAAAGTGAACTGGTCTGGCTCAGCTTCCTACCTGGTAATAGCTGGCTTTGGCCTCTATCATGAGCTGCTGTGTGGACAGCATCTTCTTCCTCCGTTTACACTCGTCCTTAAGTAGCTTGATCTCGCCAGCCTGCTTGGTGAGCAGCTGCTTACTCTGCTCGTAGTCGATCAGGCTCAGGCGCAGCCTTTCCTCCACCAGGTTTAGCTGCGAGGTGAGGAACTCCTGCGAATGCATTAGGTATTCGATGGTGAGCTGCGCCAGGCGGATCAGCTTCAGCAGCACTGGGTCTACCCCCGACTGGCAGTGTGGGCACTTCTCGTCCTCCAGCTTGCAGAAGGTGATATTCATGATGTTCTCCTGCAGCGTCAGGACGTCCACGGCGCCGGCCACCTTGTCCACGTCGATGGCGCTCAGCCGCCTCCAGTCCACGCTCTCCAGTCGCGGCCGAAACTGGAAGAAGGGCAGGGGGCCCGAGGCCGCTCTGGGGGGGACAAAGGCCATGGGGGCCGCGCCTGCGGAAGAGGCGTCGGGCCCCTCGGGGCTGTTGGCCAGAGGGTAATAGACGTGCTTCTGAAAGGGCTGCGGAGGAAGAGAGCGCGGCAGGAGGCAGGAGAGCTTGAGAGTCCCAGCGAACCCCACCGTCCCCGCCCTGCATCCCGGACAAGCACCTCTGGCCTCGCGCATCTTACCATGCTTGCAAGCCAGTCCTCCGCCTAAGCTTGCGCTGCAGGGGCGGGGCAGTGTACTCTACTGGCCCGGGCCGCCTCGGGGCCGCCGCCGCCACTCCCCTCGTGAGCCCGCCGAAGGCCCAGACCCCTGCTGCGGCGGCGGCGGCAGCCTAAGATCTGGGCGTCCAGGACGTTGCTATGGCAGCGCCCAGCCCCGACCTGGAGCACTAGGCGTATCCGCCCACGCGCGTTCAGCATGCGCTCAGGGACCTGCGGGACCAGAAGGACAAGAGACCTCTTGGACCAGCCGGAGAACCACACTCCTCATCTTCCGGGAGCGGGCATCTGTCGGCTGCCACCTCCCCTGACACCACCCTCCCTGGTCTCAAAAGACAGGACCCAGAAAGCCTCTGAAACATGCGTGGGGTCACGTCTCCTGAATCTTGAACTCCTAACTGTGGTCTTCTAGCTCTCCACCCCTATGCTAGCGTTGGGTTTTGAGATCTGAAATACACACACACACCTTTCCCACACATTTGGGGAATGTGTAGCAACAGTTAATTGAGAGCATAAGGGCGGGAAGGAAATTTGGGATAGAACATTCTGCATGTTGGTACGGTGTTATCTGGATGTATACGTTTACCAAAGTTAACGGAATTGTACATTTAAAATTAAGAGTGTCTTTTTTATATTACACCACAATAGAGTTATGCTTATCAGCCTTTTAAAATTTGTCTTGCTTTAAATATACTTTTTAGACGGATTGTTCTTCCTCTGTGGATTGGCAGCTTAATTTTGACATCTTGTTAAAATACAAACCAAATAACTAGCCCAATGTATGCAATAATTTGTCATCCCAAAAGCATTTCTCAAAATGTTGAAGTTAAAAAGAAGGATGCGAACGTCAACCGTCCGCGTTGTATCAAGGCAACCGGGCTCCGGGATTTACCTTACAAACTTGTGGCGGTGCTGCATTCTTTAAACAGTTCTAGCAGTGACCTGCAGACCCCAGGCCTCTCATCGTGGGGGTCTTCTGGAGGCTGCCAGTGGTTCCCGCGGAGATCAAGGCGCTGAGGAAAAGCCAGGCATTCCTCCTCAATCCACCAGGGAGGCCCTGCTTGGACCAACCATCAGGAATTTTTTTTTCTTTCCTAACAACCAAATACACGAACAGAAAAAAGGAAAATACAATTCACAATTACTAACCTGACGATAAGTTGTAACCAACTATTTTGAACACTTTCCGTATAAGGAAACCCACAGCAAAGTGTCCAGGAAATGAAACACACACTTCATATATATAAGCCATGTAGTCACACGTAGTCACAAGATTCTGGGGCTGTATGAAAACCAGATCTTACCGGAGCCTAGCATAAAAGCCGGAAGCACATATACTTTAAAGATTGGTTCTTCTATGTACAGAACACATCTGTTGACCCTGGCCCTCAGTTTCCTCAGCTATTGAAGCTCTGGGACACCGACCTGGCAGGTTTGTGGATTCTGGGCTCCATCCACTGGGCTGGCGGGATCGGCGGGAATAAGAGAGGTGTGTTGCTCACCGCTGTTTCCAGCACCTAGTGTAGCGAGGGAAAGGAAAGGGCATTCGGAATGTGCTAGGATTAAAAAATAAATTTAAAAAGCCAAAACAAAATCAACTAACCAAACAAAAAAACGGCTAAGTGAGTTAGGTGCTTGGTTGGGGAGATAATGGCTCCAGGCCCATATCCCTCCCAATTTTTTTTCCCCTTTGGCCAGTTAAAACGATGAACCTTTGTTGCGTTCCAAAGATCTCTAGCTTAACGCGGGAGAAGGTGGCCCGCTCCCCATGCATACCCCACAGGGATGAGGGCAGCCCCAAGCTACCCTCTTGGCGGTCACCACAGGAGCTCAGGGCACCTGCGGTTAGCCATCCTTAGCCCCCTAGGTCGAATCTCGACCACAAGATGGCCGGAACAGGAAGGCAGGGGGCATACTTTCCTGTCCCCCACCCCCACCTCGCTCCCTGATCCCCATCCCAGGCTGGGTTCCCAGCCCCGTGCGGCGACTCCTGTTCTGGGCACACCGCGCTGTGCGTCAGGCCTCATGAACCAGAAAAGACAAAGGTTCGGAAAGCCGAGTCCTAGAAGGCAAAAGATGGTTGGAGGCCGACGGCCGCGGCGGATCCGCAGCGTTGCGGATCTCAGCAGGCAGAGGGAAGAAGGCCCGACTTCGCCAGCAGACATGAGAGATGCTCTGTGTTATAGAAGCCCGGCGGGAGCATCCCAGACCTCGACTCACCGCAGCTGCGCGCTCCTGGGCGAAAGCCGGGCGCTGCTAGCCACGAGTCGTCGCCGGGGCCCCAGATCCCGGGATTGCTTCTGGCGCAGAGGCGGGGCTCTCGGAGCAGCCGAGCAGGGAGAGGCAGGCCGGCTCCTTCTTCCAGGGTGCAAGATAAAGTGTGTCTTGTCTGGGCAAGTTGTGACGAGGCGGTTAGCCTGGCGTAGCTCCTCGTCCTCCCAGGCTCCAGGCCGTGGGTGGCTAAGGCTGCCCCACCCCCCTCCCGCCCCCTCCCCTTCACGGTCTTCTGGCGGCTTCTTCTCTCCGCTACCCGGCTCCTCTGGCAGCTGGGCGGGACCGTCCGTGCCTAGACCGCAGCGCTAAAATGCGCTCCTCCAATCCCGCTGCTGCTGCAGACACGTGACGCGACGCTGAGCGCTGTTGCTGGCCCAGGGTGCTAGCTTTTCCAAAAGATCCAGATTCACTTCTACCTTAGAGTTACTCTCCTTCAGCTCGCTGCTTCCTCTGAGGGGGCCCGGTGTGAATTTTCTTCTGAGAAGAGATGCATTTTAACTGTGGCTATATGCAGATGGAAGAGAGAGACCTTCAAGAGCCTAATGCAGGATGTGGTCTAGAGTCAAGAGAAGTGTGACTATCCCGTTAGCCCCAAATTGGAACCATGATCCTGCAGAGGGGAGAGGAGGGAATCTCCATACGCTCTCATAGTGCCTCCTATAAAACGCCGTTATCTAAGGAGATGATGTTCACTCTTGATGAACGTTGAATTACAAAACTAACAAGATCACAGAGCAGAGTGACAGCAGGCTTTTAACACGGGGGATAGGAGATGAGATTATCGTATTTCTGAAATTTATCCTACGTGTGGACTTTCAGTTAACTGAGATACAATAAACTAATCCAGTTTGAGGGATTTGGAGCGATTACAAATGTGGAAGATAACAACATAATGGGCTGATTAGTTTTTATCAACTTGACATTAACTATAGTTACCTAGGAAGGCAGAACCCCGTTAAAAATTTTCCTCCATTGTCCTTACGCTTGTCTGAAGGGCATTTTCTATAATACTGTTTGTTACTGAGGGTGGTTTCACTCTTGGGCAGGTAAGGAAACTGAGCAAGCCTGAGGAGCAAGCCCTGAAGGAGCACTCCAGCGGTGGTCTCTGTTTCGGTTTCGGGGCATGCCCCAGGCTCCTTCCTTATGCTCCAACCTGGCTTTCCACAATAATGACGACTATGTTTGGACTAAACCCTTTCCTTCCCAAGTTCTTTTTGGTTAGGGCAATTATCACAACAACAAGAAAGTAATAACAGGTTGTGTAACAGTTTCCTCTGAGAACAGAAACATTCCATCCTGCAGGGAAACTCTGTAAGCATGAAGGTAAACAACTCAAAAGAGCTTCAAGAAGTTCCTGAAACTGACCAGACGTATTAGACTCCTCCCTGCCAAAGTAAGCAATCAAAGCTGAGAGTCCCTTTCAATCTAAGTGAACCTGAGCTGCAAAGAAGACTCTGAGACTCGATCAGCAGCACTGGAGAAGCAGACACCAGCAGAGCTTCCCGGAAGAAGCTTAAAACAGTCTCCTGGAAAGGACATTCTCTAACTTGATGAGTTGCCTGCAAGCTGCGCTCCAGGTTCCCAACTTTTGTGAGCTGTCACACATGCAAGGAGGGGCCTTGGTGATGCAACTGTCTGAGCCATTTCTGCTCTTGTAAGTCATCTCAGTAAAACTTACTGGTTCATCAAGGTGGGTTGTTTGTGGTATCCTGATGTGGAAGTGATTTTTTTTCTAATCTGTTGCTTTCATTGGTTAACTAATAAAGAAACTGCTTGGCCCTCTGATAGGGTAAAATTTAGATAGGCGGAGTAAACAGAACAGAATGCTGGGAGAAAGAAGCTGAGTCAGTGAGTCGCCATGATTCTCCCACTCCAGACAGTCGCAGGTTAAGATCTTCCCTGGTAAGCCACCTCGTGGGCTACACAGATTATTAGAAATGGGCTAGTCCAGGTGCGAGAATTAGCCGAGAAAAGGCTAGATATAATGGGCCAAACAGTGTTTAAAAGAATACAGTTTCCGTGTAATTATTTCGGGTAAAGCTAGCCGGGTGGCAGGACACAGCCCCCCCCCCCCCCCCCCCCCCCGCTCCGATTTCAACAGTACCCTTGCTTTTGCCTGTTGTGGGATTCTGGTATGGTGTGAGTAGACGTGTGTGTTGGGTTGTTTGTGGTACCCATGCTTTTGTCTGTTGTGGGATTCTGGTATGGTGTGAGTAGACATGTGTGTTGGATCTTTTCAGGGAAAGTTGTGTCACACAATGCCAGGACAGCTATCAAAAATCTTTAAAAATCAATTGTCTAAGTAAACAGAGAAGAATTAAAATGTGAATAACTGGTTTATAAAAGAAATATCCATTATATGTTATATATAAGAAATTCACTGTAGTTATACATGGTGGTGCACACTTTTAATCCCAGTACTCAGGATGCAGAGGAAGGAGGATCTCTGTGAGTTCAAGGCCAGAGTAGTTTATATCCATTTTACAGTGTTGGTTTTGCTTATCTTTCTTAGGAATTGAATATTCTTATAGCAGAACAAGCACACATTATTCAAGTACAATAGATTTTCTTTCTTAGAATTAGCTGATGGGTAAGAAGTCTTTAAAATGACTGGAGTTTTGAACTCAGCAGTCAACTAAATTTTAGAGCATTGGTTTTCAGCCTTCCTAACGCTTCGACCCCTTAAGACAGTTCCTCATGCTGCGGTGACCCCCAACCATAAAATTATTTCATTGCTACTTCATAACTGTAATTTTGCTACTGTTAAGAATTGTAAAGTAAATCTCTGTGTTTTCCCATTGTCTTAGGCGACTCCCTGAAAGGGTCACTTGACACCCCCAAAGGGGACATGACTGGTTGAGAAGCATTGTCATAGTGAGTTCCAGGATAGTCAGGGCTGCATAGTGAGACTATCAAAAAAAAAATCCATTTGAACCGGGCGGTGGTGGCACACGCCTTTAATCCCAGCACTCGGGAGGCAGAGGCAGGCGGATCTCTGTGAATTCTAGGCCAGCCTGGTCTACAAGAGCTAGTTCCAGGACAGGAACCAAAAACTACGGAGAAGCCCTGTCTCGAAAAATCAAAAAAAAAAAAAAGTCCATTTGAAATGTGAAGATTATATAGATTAAATGTGGCAGTGCTATCAGTCATCCTAAGGTGTAGGGCTGTTTGTTCTGAGGTAGAGTCTCACATATGACAGGCTGGCATGGGCCACTCTACTTCTTGTCTTCCAGGGTGGAATGTACACTTTAAACTGCTTTGTTGCTTTGTGTCTATTTTCAATCTTGTATTTAAAACATTAAGGCACAGAGTTACAGTTTTCTGAGTTTCACTGAGAGAGTTCTTGTGGTGCTGGGTATTGAAGCCAAGGTACTCCATCAACTAAGCTATTTCCTTTGCCCAAAGGTTAGCGTTCTTGATAGAAACCACAAGGCAGGTAATACCAACGCGTTTTACTGGAACTTATACTCTACCAATGTATGGGGAAGGCTTCTTAGATAGGCTCGCGGAGAACATGGCAGACAGTCGCCTGGCTGCTTCCTCACGTGGGGATGTGTCTGCTTTCTGATTGTAGCTTGTGTTTGTGTCTGATGATGACTAGGTCCTAGCTGTCTGTCCTAGGGTTTCAGGGCTAGGGTTGGGGATGTGGAGGACTGCCACTTCTCATGCTGTGTTCTCTTCATGACTGCAGCACCATGGCTAGGTCCTTCCAACACCACCACCGGGAGGCCCAGCAGGAGCGTTACACAAGGTAGGTCTTTCCATTGTCTTTCACAGGAATTTGAACCTTGAGCAGAAGTTCAAAGGATCAGAGGTATATGTAGTCAGGGCCGGAGAGATGGCTCAGTGGTTAAGAGCACCTGCTGTTCTTCCAGAGGACCTGGGTTCAATTCCCAGCATCTACATGACTGCTCACAACCATCTATAATTCCAGTTCCAGGGGACCAGACAACTTCACACATACACACGTGCAGGCAGAACATCAATGTACGTAAAATAAAAACGAGAGGTATATGTCGTCCTTAACTGTTTCCTCACGCCACTGTTCCCCTAAGGATGTTTATTCTTAGGCATCCATTTTATTAGCTAAGCTTGATGCTTGTGTTCTTTTAGTTTACATGTTATTACCATTAATTTGTAATATGAATCTTTTGTGCTCCCGAGAACTTGACAAGAATCATTACACTGGGAAAAGTAGTGTAGCAGTTTGAGAAACTGGATTTTCCAGGATGCTCTACTTCTTTACTTCCAGGATGGAATGTATATTTTAAACTGTTTTGTTGTTTTGTGTCTGTTTTCAATCTTGTATTTAAAACATTAAGGCAGAATTACAATTTCCAGAAAAAGTTTGCATGCTAAAGTTTCACTGAGAGAGGGCGACAAGTAACAGGTATGCTGATATCAAGTTTCGTTCCAGCTGTTTGATAGCTGGTAACAAAATGATCTTTCTCTAAAAACGTATTTTCCACATATCTCCTACATATACACATTCCACATATATATCTTACTATGAAATCATTACTTAATATGTAATTTTAGGCAAGCAAATGTGTAATACATGATTCAGTAGTCTTATGACAGCTATCACGCTGTAGAGCAATCTTTGTATACTATAAAGATGTATTATTTTCATTGGTTAATAAAGAGCTGACTGGCCTGTAGCTGGGCAGGAAGAGATTGGGCAGAAGAGCCTGACTAAGGATGCTGTGAAGAAGGAGTTCAGAGTGTCAGGAGTCGTCAGCAGATGCAGAGGAAGCAGGAGATGGATATGCTGTGCTGGAAAAAAAGTATTGCCGTGTGATAAAGTGTAGATAAGAGATATGGGTTAATTTAAGTTGTAAAAGCTGGTTAGTAATAAGCTTGAGCTTTGTGCCAAGCATTTATAATTAGTATTAAGTCTCTGTGTGGTTATTTGGGAGCAGCTTCCGGGACACAGAAAAATTCCACCTACATATGTCACTCATATATCTGGCGGCACCTACATCCACATAAGACCTGAGAAATTTCTTGAGGGGTAAGAGGAAGGGTTAACCAAGTGAAGTGTCCATGGAAGTGCTACATTGAACGTACTTTACAGCTCAAATACAAATGGGAGTAAGAGGAACTAGAACAGACACGATATGAAAGATTGTGAAGAAGGAAATACTAGGAGCTAAAGGTAGATTCTGCTGGGGGAGTGGGGAGGAAGGATGAGTTCCCTAAAACT